TATTTATTCCATACTACTTTAGATAAGCTAAGATATTCCAAAAGAAATCTCAATCTTGTTATCACTTGTTTCAGAGTATAAATATACGACGAAGATTGATAAAGGACTTTCTAAGACTTCCTATGACATCCAGGAGACACATGAAGGATTCGCACAGAACTATATCAGATCTAGAAACGACTCAGACTCGCACCCCAGAACCTCAACTCGAACCTCTAATCAATAAACCCGACATCAGCCTGAATGATGATTTGTCTCTCGTTGAGTATATTTGGATGAGAGGTCATTATCCTCCCCTGGGGCACAACAATTGGTTATGACGGTTATAGTATCTAATATTTCGTGCCATAACATCAAGTTGGTATCTTCTTAAACTAAATAGATCATGTACTTATAGTTTGGAGTTGTACTCTATCAATCTCTAACTTAAACTAACTCAATGGAACTGCTGATGAAGAATAAAGATAGGTTGACTTATGTGTAGCTCCAGTGAAACATACTGTAATGCAATACATAACTTATACTAACCCAATGTTGTATATTGAACATCACAGCTAGGTACTATACCCGTCATAACCAACATTGATGCTTTATTCAATCCTAACCTAATACTGTCTTAATTATGTCTTGTAGAAGTTAGTATGGATAGAGGTGATCATTATGAGAGTAGGTGATAAGCTTCTCTGCGACAGCATTTGGTACTAGGACTATTTGTTAAGTTAATCTTGGTAAATACTACAGATACTACAATATAAAAATGGTTTAATGTTGAGTTGAAATTTAATATTGCAGGCATTCATTATCTATTTTTATATTCAATTCGGGTTAGATATAGTTATAAATATAAGATATAAATAGTAGATATAAATAGTGGATATAAGTGGTAGATCTAAATAGTAGATTTAAAGAGAAAGAAAAGCGTGATATGGGCATACAATGAGAGATATGCAAAGAAGCAAACGGTCAATGTGACATAAGAAGAGAATACCTTAAAAGCTCAAAATTAGTGTCGGTTTAATCAACTGAATGGCGTTAGTATTGGTTTGGGAGAAGATTTATTGATTATTGGGTTGGGATTGGGTTATTACAGTTGGTTGGAAGGTAATAAACCTCTTTATAGACCGGATAGTTCTGTTTTAAATAGACATAATAGAGATTACTAACTCGTTTATTCATTGCAGCATCAATACTTCATACGATTCTTCTGTGCTTGTAGTGTCTTTATCTCAAGGAAAATGTTAGCCACAAACTTGTTCAGCCCTTGACTTATCATTTGGCCCTTATCATTATCATAAACACGTGCTATTAGAGTTCTGGCAACATTACCTGCTAAGCCGTTTGCTATCTAACCCCATGCCAACTCAATACCAACCCAATCCTAACTCAATACCAACTCAATAGAAGCAATCTTATCATTTCAAAAACTAAATCCAATTTAGCATAACACACACTTTCTCTTCACTCAGGGCTATTGCCAGCTCTACTCTTTCAAGTTAGATGCATCAATTACTTATTGGGTTAGCATTCACCAATCACATAACCTAAACTAAGCTCACCCTACCACGAACCAAACTCAACCCAATCTAAACCCAATCTAAACACGATCTAAATACTTAGTAAAACACGCACAACATAACAAATGACATCTTATTAGAGATGGAAGAAAAAGACTAGACCTTGAGTGACCGCATAGGCCAGAATAAGGTTTCCAGTGAAGTCCAAGAACTGAGTGAAGAAATACTCGTTCTTTTGAATAGGATTCATACTGATCTCAGATAAATCAACTCGTTCTTTGCAGGAAGGACAGGTATCTTTCTTCCCTAAAATCTTCCAATTCTTCAAGCATTCTTCGTGGAAAGTCTCCTTGCAAGATAGGGCAATTAGCTTGCCTTGAGCTTCCGAACAGAGTGGACACACTCCGGCCTTCTTAACACTCTTTGATGGTAAAATAGTTCCGGCGGCCCGATAACTAACGTACTCCAGCCCAATTCTAGATACTAAAGTGAAGTAAAGAACATACATAAGTAGAAGAACTCCACGGCCCGCATAGTTCATCGGCCCAAAGAAGAACCCATAAGCCAGCAGTCCATATCCTATAGACGAAAGCAAAATGCTTAGCCGGAAAGCGTGTCTATAAACCCGGTATATATTAGTCCCAATTATCTTAGGCCGTCTTCCTAGCCATATCTCTTTGTACCCCACCAAATGAACCAAAGCCAGTGCTGCCCACAGGCCAACGAAAACAAAGGAGCGCGAGACAACAGCTGTTACTAAAGGGAAAAAGAGAAGAACAACTGTACTACAGACAAGAAAAGAGCGGGTGTAGTACTTCTTCCATAAGAACGAAACAATATGAACGGCCACAAAAACGATTGCCAAAGCCACTAAGCTGTTAAGCATGGCCCCTTCCCCACGATCTACCTCAACCACCAGCAATTCTTGGACCAAAAGACCTTCATCTATCTCTTGGACATTAGTACGGCGAGTAACTCCGCGTACGTTCCTTATTACAATCGGTGCTTCTTCTGGTTGAGCTGCTTTGCCGAGACTCTTTGTATGCGCCATTGTTTTCTTTAATTTTTGGGGTTTATTAGCGGTTAGTCTGGTGTAAAGTTGTGATTAAATTGTAATTAAGTTAGGTTAATCTGGTCTTAAATTAAGTTAAGTTAAGTTGGGTTGAGTTAAGATTCTGTTGGATTGGGTTGGATTGGGTGAGGTTGAGTTAGTATTTAGTATTGTATTTTATCTTAAATTATGGCTATCTTGACCATTGGGTTAGTAAGGGACTGAGTTGGCGGAACTCAACTTAATAAGAAGTCAGCTAAATTGAGTAATTACTTTAGTTGATTGCACATCTTAAACTTATCGTAAACCTACATAAATTAAATGCTTATCTTGCTCTTTATTAATGTAACACTTAAACTGATTGAATACACAACTTAACTTAATACTCACTCAACTTAATACACAACTCAACTTAATACTCACTCAACTTAGCACTCACTTAACCAGAGATAATACTTAATCTGATCTTATGGAGAATGTGGCGGTGTTTTGGACTGAGGAGATGAAGGTGCTCGGTATTGAGAAGAATGGCGAGGAGTCGACGAATATCTATTGATTTAGCTGTAACCGCCTGATCTACTTCTTCAATAATGTGCTCTAGGGCAGCAGTTAGGCGGTTGACTTGCACCTGCAAAGTTCTATTGGCATGTGTTAGGGTCCATGTGTGTGCTTGGAGGTCGAGCAGATACTGTGACTTCTTCTCGCGGGCTTTACGGGCAGCAATACGGTTCTTCTTCTTTCGGTCTAAGTTTGTCTCTTCGCCAATATCAAGGATGGCTTTAGCAATAGCAACCTTCTCTACTTCCTCAGAATGGAGTGGTTTAGTACGCTTAGTAGAGGTTGGGATTGAGTTAGTAGGGGTTAGTCTTGGGTTGTTAGGGGCTAGTATTGGGTTATTGAGGGGTTTAGAGGGGTTAGAACGGGGTATATGTGGGTGCATGGGGTGTCAGTTAGCAATGACTTATATAGTAGTGGAATTGCGGACCAAAAAGGAAATACCTTGTTTTTATTTAGGTCCATAGACGGGGGATGAATTAAGGACTATAGGGAAGCGTTTAGGGTCAAGTGAAGTTGGTGAGACGTTTTGAAGGGTTTGGATGAGCTTCTGGGCCTCAGTTAGGAGGTAGTCTTCTTCGGAAGAGACTTTGCGGAGGAGTTCGGTGGGTGAACAAGAGAAAGGGGGTAGAGTTGGGGTGGGAAGGGAAGCAAGCCGGGATCTTTGAAGGGCAAGATGAGTTAAACGGTTTTTGATCTCTGATAGTTGGGCTAGAAGGTGGTCAGTTGGCGAAGATGGGGTAGTAGAGGGCATTGGGGCAAAAAAAGAGCAAAACTGGGTTAGGCTGGTGTTAAGTTGTGTTAAGTTGGATTCAATTTATTGATTATGGGATGTTGGGTTGGCATTTGGTTTATCTGAGTTGTGAATATGCTGGTATTGAGTTAGTATTGGGTTTGGCAGTGGGTTCAGTTGCATTTAAGTCAAGTCAATCGTTGTGCTGAGATCAGAGGTTAAAGTCTGATTTCAGTTTGCGATTGAGATCAATAAATTGGGTATAAATAGATAAGGAAAAAGGGTTAATGCAATGAAAATCGATATGAAGACATTGGTGAGTACGGGCGCTTTGTTACAAAGCATGCCTTTAAGTTTAGGTGGGGGATATGAAGAGGCCGGAGGAAGTGGGGTCGACGTTATTAGTGGAGTTGGTGGAGTTAGTGGAGAACCGCATGGGCCGGTTCGGTGGAGTGAGAGGAGTGACGAGAGAAATGGTAAAGACAGGGAGCTGTTAGCGGTAGAAGAGAATGAATTCGAACTTGAGCAGCGCATACAGTCCCTAGAAGATTCCGGAATAGAGGATGAGGGTAGTGATAGTGTGAGCGAGGATGAGCTAGCCATGGCTTTGCCGTCAAAGGTGCGACCGAAGCGACGTGTAGCCTTTACCGAAGCAGAAGCTAGATGGAAACAAGCTATTCCTGTATCTATATTGAGAGATCATAATAATCTGGTCGAAAAGTATGGAAGCTTTATGACGAAGACACAGCCAGAACGAAAAGGCGCGCCTTTAGTAGACATAACTGTATCCGCTGAACAGATTCCTGTTTACTTGAAGTACTTTAACTCTCTGTTGGCCCATTTGGACCATGTGGCGGCTAACCACACAACTAACGTAGTTGGTCCCCTTGATAAGGTTTATGGCGAATGGACGAGCCATATTATGAAAGAGTGTTCTATTTGTGCGTTTGATGAGTCAGTCAATAGATATAGGCGCCAGGGATGGAAAGATGTGGTGGGAACCTTTTACAATGGACTAGGGGTTCACTACTTGTTCTACCAGGCCTTATATGTTCTGAATGAAAATGTTAACCAAGAGAGAAATAAGGTTGGATTGAACCTTGCAGCGAAGAAGACCTTGCCGACAGACCTACCTTCCCGACTGGACGATCTATTGAATATGGCCGTAAGGTTCTACCATCACAAGCAGGATCGGCTTTGGAGGTCGTTGTGGCGCCGAAGTACTAAGAAAGACAGTGACCGTAAGGTCATTCAGAAAGGAATCGCGCTAATTCAAGAGCGGCAGTCTAAGGGAGAGACTGTTACAGTGTACGACAAAGCGGCTTTCCAGGCTATAGTTAGGCTGGAAGAAATCAGACTGTTCTTGCTGCAGCTCAGTGCAACGGCCACCCAGCTGGCCAAATTGCCGGGAGAAGAGAGGTACTTCACTCACATGAAGATGCCCTATAGCAACAACAAACATTCGATGGTGGATTCTTCGGCGTATGAAGCTGCTAAAGAAACCATTAATGGCCTGGCCGATAAAATTCGTTGCCGTGTCTCTGAATTAGTCCGTTTGATCCCAGCTGCCCGCGAACCAAGCTACATTAGCTATGACATTACAACTCTACCAACAGAACAGCAGTACACGGAGCTTTCTCGCTGGCTTAAGAGTATGCTGAATAGCAAAATAGACTTGGTCACTCTCATCATCACAAATCTTCGGACCGCCGCCACTAACTACCTAAAACACTGTCAAGAAGCCATCTCCCCTCATGCTGGAAAAGGCCAAGAACTTACTGATGTACTGAATGAACACCTGACAGAAACGAATAAGTACATCCAACGTGAACAAAAAGCGATATTAGAAATCAGCAACTCTATTAAAGCGGCCGGCGTCCATATCGCTGCGGACGAATTTGGTTACTGTTATCAGACTAAACATGAAAGATGGCATAGATGTTTGGACAATAGTCAGCAAGCTAAACTAAAGTGGAAGGACCTCATTGGAGTATACTATAGTGACCAAGAATGCCAACGGATTGCGCCTCCTCTTCCTATCAAAAACTATTCTAACACTGCAGAATCTACTACCACTGAGTTACCCATTGCTCCGCCTCGAGTCTACAATCGCCCTTCTTCTCGGCCGCAACATACCTACGTACCCAGTCACCCCTACCAGCAACCTGGCTATTCCGGCGCCAGCCGACCTGGTTCAGGTAATAGCTACACTTATCACCATCCAAGTCCACCATCTTCTCAGCAACCTGGCTATCCCAGCGCCAGCCGACCCAGTTCAGGCAATAGCTACACTTATCACCATCCAAGTCCACCATCTTCTCAGGGATCTGGCTATTCCGGCGCCAGCCGATCTGGTTCAGGTAATAGCTACTCTTATCACTATCCAAGTCCATCCCCTCCAGACGAAAGAAACAACCGACCATTATCCGGCCAATCTTCTACTCCAAAGGTAATAACCACCGACACTAACATCAATCTGACTCCTAGTGCCAATAAGAGCTCTAAAGACAGTGCCGTTAAGATAGATGATAATGTTAACCAAACAAAGCCTGACAAGCCAGAAAACCCCGATGGATCTAAACAAAGCACGGTACATAAGCCAGCCACCAACCCCAATAAGGCTACTACAGCCAATGCATCCGCCAAGACGAATACAACATATACAGCCAATGCATCCGCCGAGAAGAAGATAATAACGGTAAACAAACCACTTGTCAAGACGGATAAACCCCCTACAAACAAACCACTTACCACGACGGATAAGCCCCTTACTACAACCGAGAGCATCGCCGAAGCAATTACAGAGCCCACAGAACCACTTACCACGACGGATAAACCCCCTACCACAACCGAGGGCATCGCCGAAGCAATTACAGAGCCCACAGAACCACCTACCACGACGGATAAGCCTCCTACCACAACCGAGGGCATCACCGAAGCAATTACAGAGCCCATAAAACCCATCACCGAAGCCATTATACCGCATATTCCAACTCCCGAAGAAGAGCTTAATCAAACTCTATCTGGCTCAGACTTTAGTTCATACAAAGACCTTGTTACTAACATTCATGAGATTCAGCGAATACTCAGCGACCCAACTGTACCACCTAAAGACCTCCAATGCTTTACCTCATTCCTTAATGATTTTGCCCATATCATTCAAACCAGCGAGCCCATAAGCTCATTCACTGGTATGCTGTCTCCCAATCAAACCACCCCAACCCTGGCCAAGCTCATCAACACACACAATCAGAATCTAAAGGAATTAGAAACAATCAATGATGCCATTGACATAAACAACAAGGATATCTTGGCCATTAATGCCAGCTACCATGAAGCCACCCAAACAATAGACCAGAAAACTAGCCAAATCACCCAAAACAATATAAAACTTGACGATCTCATCAATCAAAACAAGCAAGCCGAACAAGCCGCCACAGATCTCTGGGCTACTGTCCAAAACAAACGCCACCAGATAAGCAACCTCACCTCTTCTATTGCCCAGGCCACCGACCTCAGCAACCAACTCCAACAGCAACTCACTGACCTTGGTGCCACCCTCAACAATACCTTGCCACAAATAGAAAAGACCAAAGTCCAACTCCAAGAGCTTGACAAATCCCAAGAGCTCCAGACCTCCCAGGCCCAACTCAACCAGCTCAAAGAGGATCAAGCCCTGCTAAGAGACAAGATTCGGTTGTTAGGCTCCATCATCGAAATTGCCGACTTCATCGAATCCCTTCGACTTCGAGCTAGTCCAGCTCTCTCTCCTGAAGTTGCTCTCAGACAAGACATTGAATCTCTAGATCGCCTCAATACTACCCACTCCGACCTGCTCTTCCAACGAGCTCTCACCGACCCAGCCCTCAATGAAACCATGACCCAGCTATACAACAACTACCTCTCTTCCCACCAGGATGCCCAGGACACAGCCAGCGAACTTCAAAAGCAAATCAGCAATAACCAAGACTGCCAAAAGCGCCAGGAAGATCTCGAGAAACAGCACAAGGACCTACAAAAGGAACAAGAAGACCAACGTGCGCTCTTCACGACAACACTAGAAAACCTCGCGCAGGAGAAGGCCAAGTGCATGGAGAACACCGCCAAAAACACCAAAAAAGCCGAAGCCATCTCCCTTTCTCTTGATTACCAACAAGTCCTCTGCAGTCTCATCCACGATGTTTATTCCTGGGCCACTACTCTAGCCAACCAGCTCAAAAATACCTCTAACAAGCTCGTTCATCTGAGCACCCCGCTTGCTCCATCTCTAATGACTAAACTCTACCAAACCCTTCCGGAAACCAACCAGGAATTCTTCCACTATCTTATCCAGTCACCATCTGCCTTATCTCCGTACTCCCAAGACATTCCCGCATACCTTTCCAAATCAGCTCAGGTCAATGATGTCTGTTTAAACACCCAGCAGATGGTCAATACAACCCTCAAGATTCTTAACGACGCCAACCAATTTCTAATTGGGCAGCATCTACACCTGCATGTTCTTCCCGACGACAGTATGGCCAAAACCAAGTGCCTAGCCGAAATAACCAAAGCCTGGGACCAGCGATCCTTTAACTGCCCCCCTGCACTCCGCGCCAACGCCAATATACCCAAACGCACCAAACCTAACAAGTCCCAAGATTGCAACTTCAAACTCTAACTCTAACCCAATACAAACCCATCTCCCACTATCATCCCTTACTACACACCATCACCCCCAATAAAGACATTATGATAGCAAATACACTAAGCAACAAGTAACAGGTAACAAATAACTTATTACAACTTGCCTCCTTTCATTATCAACTTATTTATTATTCCTCAGCCGATTCCGAGCCCGATTCAAGCTCACTCGTCTCATCACTAGCAGTTTCTTCGTCCTCACTCTCTTCCGAGCCGGCGGCTTCTTCTTCCCATGCTCCGCCTACTACTTCACTGCGATACTTAACGCTCTTCTGCGCCAAATACGACTCAAGCGCCGCAAACTCCGTCTTCTGAATTCCATTGAACATATGCTCTTTCTTGTCCTCCAAGACTACCCGCATGTCAAAGGTCTTGGCCGTCCGCGAGCTTAAATTCACCCGACTAAACTCCACCATTTCTATCGCACTGTACTTAATATAGGCAATCTTGGGAATAAACAAAAACCCTTTCTTCAGCGGGTAGAGATACCCTTCATTGGCTTTAGAAGAACACTTAAGCGTCTTCCCGCCACTAACTGTTGAGAAGGTGCCCGTCTTATTAGCCTCTTTGCGGACCATAATCTCCAGAATCTCCACGAAGCAGGAAGCCAGTGGTCCCTTGTAGTTCAGCTGCAGTCCCAGACTCAGAATACTTGCTTTGTCCTCTTCTGTAAGACCGTCCTTCTGCTCTCCTTCCTTGGAACCTTTATCCTCTCCATCCCCTCCTTCTCCTTCTTTCTTGCCTTCGTTGCCTTCATTTCCCTCATGAATCTCATCTTCGTACTCAATCTGGCCATTTTGCCCCAACCCAATGTTGACTAGATCCTCAGGCAGTAAGAGATTGATAAAATGGTATCTTGTCTGGCCCTGTCTAATTGGTGTACTTAGCTCCAAAATCAAGTAAACCATTTCCTCCGCACTCTCTTCCGGACTCCTTTCCAGGGCAAACATGCGCTCAATCGCGCTAAACATAATCTGATGGCTGTATGTCTTACCAATCAAGTGAATAGCCGTATCGGTGAGAGTGAGCTTTGACTTTCCACGTGGCAGAACACAAGAAACCTCTTCTAAAGACAAGATCTCCACCTGCGTACTTGAGGCCGTTGAGTTCTTGATCTGAGCAATCAGCCGTGATACATTGCTCTCGTCATGCACAGACCCAAACCTTATCTCAGATACACCATAGTACTTCTCGTTAATATCAATAATGCCTTCTCCTCGCCGCTCATAAGCATTAGAAACTGCATCCAAAGGTACTTCAAACAGAGTCTTGTCCTGGACCTTCATTTCTATGTAAGCATCTTGCACTTCAATCGCTCCTCCTATATTTCCATCTACAGCTAAGCTGCGGTGGTACAGATTTAGCTTATAATGCTTTTTAGCATACTGTTTAGTATTCTCTAAAGCATCTGGAGAAAGACCGTCTAGGATATAGACTGAGTTGTCCTTCTTTGTAATCCGCAGTGCATGGGCCAGCACGCCATAATGCTCAACAATCTCCTTAATTTCATCGGCTTTGATCGTATGAATCTCAGAACTTGATTGTTCCTTGATTCCTATGCCACTACTGGCTATTTTAACCACCGCCTTAACTGGAACTCCCCGTTTACTATAATGAATATCCTCAAGTGTTAATACGTCCATTAAATTTTTTGTTCGCTACGTGGTATTGCGTTAGCTTAGATTAAGTTGCGATTAGGCGTTGATTAGATAAGTAGTGTTTTTGTTGGTTTATTTATACTGTATTAGATATATTCAATTATTTATACTTTATTAGATAGTATTTAGGTTAGTGGTGGTTTATTTTCTTATTTACTTACTAGTTATCTATCAACTTGGCATTAGCTGAGTTAAGATTAGGTTGAGTTAGTATTGTGTTGAGTTGAGTAAAGTGGAGTTGGTATTGTGTTGGTATTGTGTTGGGTGGGGGAGGGTTGGGTGAGGGTTGTTACTTGGTGGGGGTTGAGTTAGTAATTTGATGGCGTTGTCTATTTAGACAACAGCTACTCATACATTCAATGAGTGCCTAACTATCTCAATCAACTAAATATCAACATAATACTAAATACTAACATAATATTAACTAAATACTAACTAAATATTAACACAATCTGTACTTAACTTAACTTAACTTAACCTAACTTAACTCTACTTAATGCCTATTTGGGGTGTTCATTTTCTAACTTTTCTATGATGGCGTCAATGGCCAACTCAATGCGTCTCTTTTCATCGTTAATCTCGTCAAGGAGAGGCGGATCCATAATCGGCTCGGGGTGGCTTTTGATTAGCTTGTAAGTGGCTTCTGTTGGACTCTCGAAGACAATTGTGTCCATTCTTTCGTTATGAATAGCCGCGGGGTCGTACTCAATATCGCCAATGATGTGATTGGTTGGGTCGTGGTGTAGTTTAAGGGAGATAAGGAAGCCGACGGGTTTTTCGTGTACATCTGTGAAGTATATCTTGCCTTGAATAGTAAATTCTCCCCAACCACACTCTTCTATTTCAAAGGGCGGGCTGTCTACTATTCTGGTGGGATTGGCAAAGGTTTCGTGGGTCTTAAAGGTTACACTGCGGATAAAATAGCTTAGATCGGTGTTTTTGTACCCGCGGATAAAGACTCGCCAGCGGTGGGTGGCTTCTCCGGCTGTTCCTTCAATTTTAGTGGCCGCTGTGCCATAGATTATAGTACGCGTGAGATTAGCGTGATTTATCCTCATCCTAGCAAAAGAAAATGCAGAGAAAAGAGAAAGGGCGAGTTCCTCTCTATTTAGAGCGAGATCCAAAGCAGCTTTACTTCGTTACGGGCCTAGGGTGTGTTTTGGGAGCTGGCATTGGCTCGGTGCGCGGTCTAGTGACTTCTTGGGCGCGGACAGAAGGAAAACCGCGAGGTATGGCTTATTTAGTAGGCCGTGAAGCTGAAGCATTGGGTAGACAGGCGGCTCTGGGTGCGGCTACCTCTTATCTCAGCGGACTTTTCCTCCAGGAGGCAAGACAAGCCTTGGGCTGGTAGATTAAGTTGAGTTGAGTTATGTGGGGTGAATGATAATAAAGACATAGTAGAGATTTATTGGGTTAGTTTGGGTTGGGTTGTGTTGTGTTGTGTTGGTATTGTTGTTTAGTTAGTGGTGGTAGTGGTGGAGATAAGGATGGATGTGGAAGTAGATAGGTTAAAGGATTTGGGCGTATTTAGGATTCTGCTTCATCTCGCCAGACAAAGAAGGGACAGGGCTTGTAGCTTTTGTTGCACTTGAAGAACTCTCGGTTCTTGTTCTTCTCGGTGTTGGAGGTAAGGAGCTTGGCGTCGGCACCGCAGTGGCATTTGACTTCATGGTCGGTTGAGGTGTAGGAAGAAGCCGGCTTGTTTTTGGACTTAATTGGAATGGGCTTAGGAGCCTTGCGCGTGAGTTGGTTGGTAGTGGTAGAATCTTTCCATTGGAAGAACTCACAATTCTGTGATGAGCAGCCATAGAAGATCTTGCCTTTGTTAGGGCCGGACTTATTCACGGTCTTTTCCATGGCTTGGATGTTGCAATCACAAACAATAGTATCTGGGGCGAGTTCGGCTAGGAAGGAATTATTGTCGTCAAAGGAGGAACTGCTTCTCTTGCGGGTCGGGATGGGCGAGAAAGATAGCTCTGAGGCTGGAACAAAACCACAAGAGGCGGGTAAAGATGAGCTTTTTTGGGGTCGAGATTTGCTGGTGCCTGTGGGTGGTATGGCCGGTGGTTGGTTTTCCTGGTAAGCACTCGATTTAGGATAGGACATTAAGGGTTGAGACCGCGATTTTGGTGTGGTAAGAGATGGCTTTGCTGATGTGGCTGTTTGGGTTGTGGTGAACTTGGCTGAAGCAAGAGCGTTGGCACGGGATGATGGTTTGCCTGCTCGGGGCAGTGGCGGCGGGTTGTTTTGATCGTTTAGTTTGTTCTTCTCAAGCTCCTGGATTAGTTGGTGCATATTTCGCTCAATCTGGGTATAGATGTCCTTATAGAGCTGAACTTCCTGCTGCACGGCCGATTGGGGAGAAAGCGTGCCGGCACAGATACTCTTGAGTGACAGTTCAAACTGCTGTCGTAAATGAGGTGCACTGACTTTCAGACCTATCTTTTTGTAGCCATTAATGAGGCCGCGGCCGATCCATGTGCTCTTAAGTGAGTTCTTGTCGACCACCGTAACGTATCCTCGTTCTTTAATGCGTTGGATATGGTCATGGATCGTGGCATCTGTGCCAATTCCGTGTGTGTCCATTTTAGCGATAAGATCGGCTTCTGTGAGAAAGGTAGGCGGTTCTGTGCTACCGGGCTTAATCGCACCTGTCCACTCCACGCACTCGCCCTCTTTAACCGGCAGAGACTCTTCCGTATCCCCCCACTTGTCATAGACGTAAACCTCAAGGTAGTTCTTGGCGACCACATGGAGAATGCGGCGGCGGAATGTTTCTCCTTTGACCTGGCAAGTGATTGCTTCTTCTTGACCTTTGGCATTCTGGCTGTACACGGCCAAGAAGCGCCGGGCAATGTACTCATAAACAGCCCGACTGGCTCCACTAAGACCCGTGCCTTCTTTAATGGGATAGATTGGCGTGTGGGCTTGATCGCTGTGTGGACCGGCTGACGCTCGGCCCGGATTTAGCTTACGGGCATAGTCTCCCAGGACTGGATCGTTCTTCAGTCGCTGCAATGGTTCTTGGGCATTGAAGTCCTTGGGAAACGCGTCTGTTTCGGTTCTGGGGTAGCTAATGTATCCGGAAGTATAGAGCTTTTCGGCAATTTCCATAAGTTCGTGGGAGTTGCGCACGGGGCCTTTTCGGGCAAAGAACTTCTGCATCTCGACTGTTCGTAAGGGAATAGGCCGGCTCTTCTGCACTTCTTTCTTACTTACTTCGGTAACCACCATTTTCTGGCCCTGGATGTGTTGGTACTTAAGATCTACGTATGTCTGGTCAAAGATCTTGCCGCGGGTCCATTGAAACTCTCCTTCGACTCGACCTTTCCTGACTTTAGCATTGATTGTCCAATTGGGCTCGGGCACAAACTGGGCAACCAACTCCTCTCGCTCACAGACAAAGCCTAAAGTTGGAATTTGGCAACTCCCATAGCTAACGACCTTGTTCTCCTGGTCCTGAAAGAGAGCCTCCAGTTGCAAGGTCTGCAGTCGTGTTAGAGCCGCGCCTATTCTCAAGTCCACCTCAATACGGGAAGACACGGCATGGGCCTCATTTACATTCAACTCGCCTAAAGCCCGAAAGGCTTGGGTTACTTCATACGGACCTAATCCTGAGAATCTGGCTCTTTTTACCGTTTGAATCTTCTCTCTTAGCAGCCCTGCAATCTGTTCGCCAATATTCTCGCCCTCTCGATCACAATCTGTCCAAATCACCAGCTGCGAACACCCTTGGGCCACATTCAGTAAGTTCGTTGAAACATCTAACATGGTCGGCGCTACTTCCCAAACAATGTCTGCTTCAAAGAGTTCTTTGGGGTCATGATCGCGCCATTTGCTCTTCCGCCGAAACTCTAAGCTATACAGGTGGCCCAGCACACTAGTAAACAGCATTTCGGCTTGGTTGTAGCTAAAGACGAAGTTCTTGCAGTATTTACTTGGGCTGGACCGAGTGCTATACTTCCCTTTTGACAAAATCTCCGTTAACGCCCTAGCAACTGAGGGTTTTTCAGCTACATTCAGTATACGCATGAGTTTTCTCCAAAATCATTTATTTAAGCCGGTCGCCGTCTCTTCCGCCGATTCTGGCCTTCCTCCTCCCTAATTTGTCCCCCTTTCTCTCCACGGCCAAACTGACGATTCTCAGCAAAGCCTCCATCAAGGTCCAGGTAGACATGTCGGTCATTAAGGACATTTTTGGACAAATCACGACGGGCAATCACGGCATCACCGGGTGTCCAGAACTCAATAAAGCCAAAGCCACAAGGAACATGGCGGTTGGCATCTAAGCCCATAATGGCCCGCTTGACTCGGCCTATCTGTGAGAACATCACGTGCATTTGCTCCTCGCGCGTTTGGTGTTGTAAATTACCTACATAAAGGGTGCCAGAACTAAGAACTTCTTTGCGGTAGTCTTCCTCTGTTCCGCCATACGTCTTATCAATATAAGTTGACTGTTGGTCGGCAGCAGCCAAATGGTGCCACAATGCGAATGAGGCCGTCTCCATGAAAAAATTAGCCTAATCGGACATCGTATAGCCAATCTACCAATCTTTGGGAAAAGCGGCCAAGTAGAATTGAAGTACCGCGAACCAGGAAATGGATGTACTCTCGGGCAGCTAGCTTGGAGTGGCCGGCTGCTCGGTCGTGAAACTGCACGGGAAGTTCAACCAGCCGGCCCTTGATGCGGTAGAGAATTTCCATTTGGTAGGCAAAGCCGGCTGCGCCTACTTGGCGAATGCTGTGGTAGAGAAAGTCACGGCGATAAACCCGATAGCTATTGGTCATGTCTGAACAGGAAAGGCCGGTAAAGATGCGGGCTAGAATATTAGCACCTCGACTGGTAATTCGGCGCAATAAGGGCCAATTAGCTACTCCACCGGCCGGGCAGTATCGCGAGCCAATGCAAACAGTGGCTTTGGTTCGTTTGATTTCTGATAAGAGCTTAGGCAAATCTCGAGGGTCGTGGCTTAAATCCGCATCCATGATAGCAATGTATGCGCCTTTGGCCTCATCTACACCGCGCTTATAAGCGTTGCCAAGTCCAAGCTTGTCCGGCCGCTCAAGCACTACTAATGGAATATCAACTATCTGTGCTAGGGCTTGGCAAGCAGCGGCCGTGCCATCAGAGCTCCCATCATCCACTAAGACAATCTCGTACTTAATCCCTTTTAAGGCCACTTTCAAGGCATACATCAACAAAGGAGCGTTATCTCGTTCATTATGGGTAGGCAGGACTATCGATAATTCCATGTAAACAAATAAAGTGTCTTATTTATTCTGATAAGGCTAGTCCACAGTGCCTAATGGTTTTCGCCAGGTCTTTGATGGCCACACGACCTTCAGAAGGCTTAAGTAGTCTTTCTAAGGCCTGCCACTCTTCGGCCGAAACACCGCCGGACTGGCAAAGTGCGGCTTCTAGCTCAGTGACGGCCACCAAACCACTTTCCGATGGGTCCAAAACTTGTAAAGCAGAGGCAATTACGTTCTCAGAATCGATGTTAGATAGTCGCTCACATAAAGTAGTCAAAAATAGGGTAAAGGTGAAGCGGTCACCCATATCATCCATCATACTAGTAATTTCCTCATTGGTCAAAGGTGCACCGATATCCTCTAAAAAAGTCTCTAAATCCTGTCGACTCACATTACCATCTGTAGTCACATCAAGCATATTAAAGATGTCTTTAAGCTCCATAATTTGTTCTTGAGTAAAGGCCGTAAACACATTGGAGCTTTGCCTTCTAGTTCGAGTCCGTCTATTCATGCAAATCCTTGTCTCAACAAAAAAGGATTCTGTATTTGGATTGTGTTAAGTGAGATTAGATGGGGTTCTGTTGTGTTAAGTGGGGGTAAGTAGAGTTGTGTTGTGTTAAATGTCCCAAACCAGTGTTAACTATGTTTAATAAAACAACTTCTCCTGCAAATCATAAACTGAACTTAATAGTAACTTAATACTAACTTAATACTAACTTAATACCAACTTAATAGTAATTTACTGTGGTGGATTAGTGGGTGGATGGTATACTACTAGATGTTGTCGAATTTATTGATACTGTTGCGATAGTTGACATGGGTGCGTTGTGCCCTGCTTATTTAGATGTCAAGATAGATGTCTCCAAAGAGGTAGTCGGTTCCGTCAATGATACTATTTAGTAAAAACTCCACTTGCTGAATGGTGGCCATGATTTGGTCTTCTTGGCTGAGAAAGTCTGCTATTTGTGGGAGTAAGTGATTAAGGTGATCGGTGTTTGTTTTAGTATCGGAGTTAGTTGGAATCGCTTGTAGTTCTTGTAAGAAAGAGTGCAATTGGACGGCGGCAGTTGGAGTCATGAAAATTTGCCGAAAAGTCGGTTGTGTATTTGGGTAAGTGTTTGCGATGTAATTAGATTGGGAACTGTGCCGGCATCGGAATCTTTAGCTATTTGCTGGTTGATAGGAATGCTTTGAAGAATAGGGATGTTTTTGTCCTGGCAAAGTGCCTGAAGATCATTTGTAGGAAAGAAAGATAAAGAATGGGCGCAATGTGTGCACTGGCCTGCAGCCATGTTCTCTATCAGCCCAATAATCTCTAGTTGGGTCTTTTGACAGAAAGTGATTTCTCTTTGTAAATCAGATAGGCTTAAGGGATGCCCGGTAGCTACTAGCAGAACTTTCAATTGGGGGAAGAGTTTACTTAGCGTAATGTGGGCATCAGAAGTGCCTGGCGGCATATCAAAGACAATTATCTCAGAAGATTCCTGTATTTTAGCTAAGTAGTTAAGAACATGGGCACCAGGCACATGGTTCTGGCTAAGTAAGCTAAGTGGCGGAGTAATGACCCGGAAAGATTCACTAAGCGGCGTGCTAGTTAAGACTTCGCCTAGTTCTAAAGAAGGTGTGGTATTCGTTATGCGTGGAATACTTGGACCGGCTATATCCAAATCGACCAGGGTAACTGTTCCTAAACTGGCTAGTGCTTGGGCTGTTGCCGCGGCTACCGTACTCTTTCCCACACCCCCTTTGCCACTCATGACTGCTAAGAGGTGTTTATTAGCGAACTGACTAGTTATACTCAGATGCAGAGCCTCTGGTGCCTTACTAGACGTACACTGGCTCTTCATAGGACAAGAATTACACCCCGAGATACAAGAAGACATGAAATAGCGAAAAGAGTCTTTTTTTAATGCTTATCCCCATTCGCTGCTTCACGTGTGGCAAAGAGATTTCTAGTCGTTGGGAAGAGTACACTTTACAAACAGCCCATTCAGATAACAAAGCTGAAATCCTTACCAACTTAGGGTTTAAAAGGCCCTGCTGCCGGACTGTAATGCTTACTACAGTAGATATTATGCAAAAGATACTTAAGTTTGAATATCCCCAAGAAACACAAGAGCCTACACTTTAATTGAGTTAAGTTGTGATGAGTTAAGTTAAGTTGGTTTGGTTTGGTTGGTGATGAGTTAAGTTGGTTTTATATTAGAGATGGCTTTAGATATGGTTAAGTTAAGTAAGATTTAATAAAGGTATTTAGTTGCAGCATTGTGTTAAGATTGAGTTGAGTTTGTGTAGTACCCAATACTAAGTCTATCTTAACTAATACATACTCTATTAGAGACATTCTTTGGGATAAGTAGTGTCGTTTGTTAAGTAAATATAGACGTGAGTGAGTATGATGCCATATCAAGTTAGTGTAGATATGCCAAGCTAAATTGGTTAAAGTTATGTGATGGTGTTATTGTGATAGTATTGTGTTTAGTATTGTGTTTAGTATTGTGTTTGGTATTGTGATAGTACTACATTGGGGTAGTATGGTGTGAGTTGGTATTGAATTGAGCTGTACCACCCGTTGTTGTTGAATACTTAGGTTACACGTCTATTGAATGCTGTAAAGTATCTGTTATCTAGTATGTTGGCCGTTAAATTAGAGCCTAGTAAGACTGAATCGGTTTAATGATTTATTTGCTTAAAACTAATCATAAGCAGTTTGCCAAGGAAAAAGATAAGGGTTGTGTTTTATTTACGACTTAAGCTATGAAAAGTAAGATTATGTGCTGAAATGGGATCGAATAACACATTGCGCTAAACAATGCTTAATTCACTAACAGCTTAATTCTAACCTAAGTATGAAAGACAACCTAACCTAAGTATGAAACTAGGCCTAAGAAGGGGTAGATGATGTCCGGAATAAAGAGCAAGGAGAGGTACTCCCGACAGATGCTTCCTTTAGCAATGATATCACCAGATGAAAGAACAGTCTCTGTACCCGCTGCACTCTGAATAGTAGTACTCTCTGGATTAATTAGCATAAAAACACCCGTTTCTGCCACATCCAAAGTCTCGTTCGGGGAAAAGTTCATTAAGTGCGTGCACCGGAGTACCTTGTCCTTTTCAGCAACAGTTAAATGGGTATAGTTGGAATTCCTTTCCAAGACCTGGCAAATTCTCTCTCGACTCTTCCGCTGGTCCGCCATTAAGATAGCCGTATAAGAATCTGCATTCACCACCCATACTTTAGCTGGCGAGGTACAAACCACCGTGGCTGTCCGGGGAAAGCTGTACAACAACGAGATTTCTCCAAACAAGGACTCAGCGGCTAGAACAGAGACTACTTCTCCATTCTGAATGACCTGAAAGGTCCCGCTTTCAATCAGGTACATTGTCTTCCCATAATCTCCCTGGGTGATTAGCTGGAAGTGCTCGGATATCTCTTCCAAGTACATGGTTGAGACGAGCTTCTTCATCTGGTCCGGATTCATAGTCCGGCTAATCACGCGCGAGCGCCAGAGAATAGATAAAAGAAATTCAAAGAGCTCAGTACTCTTGGGATACTCGAGCAAAGGGGCAAAAGGATCAGCAGAAGCACAAACACTTCCCCGACGTTTCCGATGGCTCTGATCCGGATGGTCTAATAAAGGTATAGCCTCTGCGGAAGAGAACATATCCTGTTCATTGCTCATGAGTTCTTCTTCCACCTCCAGAACCTCTTCGGCAGCCCTAACCAAAAGGTCCTCTGATAGTCCTTCAACGTTTTCGTTCTCGGAGTTGATCAAATAAAGCGCTAAGACATCATAGGCAAACTTAAGCGGATTTTCAATTTCCGCGCCTCTTTTACCTAAATAACCGCTAATAATCGCTACGGCCCTAGCGAAGACATCTGTTGCCATAGTGTAAAAAAAAGAGGGTACTTTATTCGCGTTGGCATTCTGCTGATAGATCGCTGAAATAGAAAGAGTTGCAGATACGCACAAACTCTTCTAGAGGGCACACTTCGGAGCGTCCTTTCTTTTCTCGTTTACAGAGACCAATTGGGACCTCCTGGCCATTGTAACGCATAAGAACGTAATGTTCTTGCGAGGTTTTATCTTTAAGAAGTTCGAAGATAACATTGGCTCCGAATTTGGGCCAAGCCTTAGGATCTGAGCCGAGAGCTTTAAGTAAAGGGTAGACAGTGACATCGTGGGCGGAGAAGATAGAGGCTTTGAGGGGTAGGTTTGGGTCGGCTGCCTTATGAACGAGATGGTTTGAAATTTCATTAAGGAGTGCCCCGGTATTGAGGGCTATGCCTTCTTGGGTGTTGAGATGGCCAAACCAGAGGCGCAAAGAGTACTCTTCTAAGGTAGATAAGATGTGTCGTGGCACCTGTCGGAATTGTGAGAAGCCATGAGCACGGTTGCTGGCAATTAAGTCATAAATAGCGTAGGGAGAAAGGGCGGCTAGGGACGGCGAGAAGTTCTTTGAAAAGTAGTGTCTAAGCAGGTCGGCTTTTGGTGAGAACTCCTTTTTGAGTGCGGCTTGGGACTGGTTGGTTAGGGTTTTCAGCCGGGGACAGTGTCGACTTATCCCAAGACTATCTGCGGTTATGTCATTGACACGCACATCCATTTGGGCAGGATGGGTAGGGAATAAGCCTTGCATTAACGATTGTAGACTTTCAAGGGTGCGCTGGAAGTTAGTCGAGCGCAGTTGAAACTCTTCCTTCTTGAAAACGGGACTAATCAAACCTTCTTTCTCAACATAACGCCGGCGGAACCAGGCGCCCAGTTTAGTTAGAGTCTCTCGCCCCTTATCAGTCAGCTGTCCGGGCGCACAGTTAAATTCCTGACCCGAATGGAGCGTTAAATTAAACTCAACGGGTGGTGATTCTTTGCGCTGGAAGTAAGATAAAAGCCCCTTAATGCGATCGGTTAAAGTGTGCGGCTTATTTGGAGCCACATAGCTAATTTTAGATGTGCGATGGCAGAGATTCCAATTAGTGCGATCGTGCGGGCCAAACAAAAGAGGGGTTCTTTCACCATGGCGGTGAATTAGATGAACGTACGCTAATTGAAGGGTCATAAAAACAGAAAATACATCTACATTAATAGGACATAATAACAAACAAGCATGGATAAAAAGGAGGAAACAAAAGAAAGAATGGATATTGTCAACAAGATCAGTTTGAGTGATGCAGATTCGGCCATTAAAGTGAACTTGTTGCTGCAGCTAGGTCTTGGGGCTGGTGCCTTTATTGGGTTTGTGCTACTGCGGAAGCGCATGCCGTGGATATACTGTGCCAACACAAAGAGTAGCAAAACTCACCCGGCAAGAATGTATCAGGGCATACTAAGCTGGATTATTCCGGTGGTGACTATCTCGGACATAGAGTTTTTTGATCTTGTTGGGTTTGATGCTTTCTTGTTTACGGAGACTTTGAAGCTTTTAGGGATGATCTTTACAGTGCTGGCTATATTGTTAGTGCCTGTGCTAGGGGCATACTATGCTTTGTTTGGGGGTGGAAAAGAGACCCAGTTGCTATTGCGTCTGTCGATACTTCGTACTAAAGAGAGTGGCCGTAGTGTTAATGGAATTATTCCGGGTATATCTACTTGGGTTGTGACTTTGGTAGTGTTGTACTTTCTCTACATGTTCTACCGAAAGTATATCATTTTGCGGCAGCTGCACCTGCGGGACCGGTCCTTTTCCAAATCAACGCCCTCGATTAGACGTTTGGCGGCAGAGATGCATTCGGTGAAGAAGGCCTTAAATGAAATAGACTTGCCATCCCGGAGTGTGCTCCTGCGCAACTTGCCTTCACATATCAAGAACAAAGACGGGTTGTTAGACTACCTAACAATGCTTAATTTAGGAATTGCCCCAGAAGAGTGCCATGTTGTGCTGAACACGAAGGAGCTAGAAAGATTACTCTCTCGCAAACGAGAAATGATCTATTGTTTAGAGCAGGAAATTCAACAACAATTCATTCGTATCAATACTCTATCTCTGCAAAACAACTTCTTTGCTGAGTGTGTTGATAATTACGACCCGGACATGGACTTGATTTCCAATGCAATCCAATGGGGCCGGCGGCATAAGAAGGATGTTAAGAAGGTTAAAGCCGAGAGCGTGCAAGAAATGTTTCAGACCTTTTGTTCGTCCCCCTTTCTTGGCCACTTGGCACAATTTAACCCTAAAATAGGCGCTGATAAGATCCGGGACTATATGCACACGATTGAGTCATTGAGTGCGGCCATCGACGAAGAAAGAAGTCGGAAAATGTCTCAAATAGAGGATAAACAACTACTGCTACCAGATGTGGCTGAGAAGAGTCTACATGATCCGTATGCGCTGGAAAGAGAGAAGCCAATCTTCTTCTCGTTCGGATCAATGCTGCATGTCATGCGCCAGTACCGTGAGTTCTCTTCGGGCTTTCCTAAAGAAACACGTTCAGCCTTTGTGACCTTCCATAATGCAGAAGGAGCCAATGCTATGAAGATGGCTCTAATTGGAACAGGAACTTTTAGCTGTAAGGCCGTTGAAGCTCCGCCGCCGGAAGAGCTTATCTGGCCGACTTTGTCCGATCCAGAGCCAGCTCGGATTGTGCGACAGTTTGCGGGCTCAATCGTCACCTTTGTGTTTGTGGTGTTTTTTGTCTTCTTTGTCTTTCTGGTCTCTAGTTTGATTAACCTTTCTACCTTTGATAAGATTGTGTCTTGGATTAACCCTGATTTACAGGCGATCACCCAGACCCGGGAGTTTCGGGCATCTTTCCATGCGATTTTCGTGCCTTCGGTGTACAGTCTCTTTTTAGCCTTGGCACCCTCGGCGATTAATGCCATCTGTTTATTCGAAGGGAATATTTCCCACACGGAGTTCCAAAAGAATTTCGGCCGGAAGTATTCACTATTCCTGTTTATGAACGGATTCTTGGCGTTTATATTCAGCACAACCCTGATTGCCATTATCGACAACAAGAAGGCCAAACAAAGTGTTTTTGAGTCTATCTCGGTACCAGTAGTAGTCTCCTCTACCTTCTTTCTGAACACCCTGATCCAGAAGACTTTCTTTGGGCTAATGTTTACACTGCTCGAGCCAAAGAGAGTTTTCTTTCGGCTGGTCTCACACTTCCTAGGCGGAGTAAGAACTCGGCGAGAAGAGATTGAAGATATCCAGCCCGAACGCATTAATTTTGGGTACTACTACCCACAAGTCTTTCTTACGTTTCCAATGGTGTTGATTTACACGGTTATTTGTCCGGTCTTCTTTATTTTGGGTGCGATTCACTTCATGCTCTCGTTTTTGGTCTACAAGTCCCTCTTCATGTACTCGCACACGAGTGATTTAGAAAGTGGCGGGGGACACTGGCCAATGCTTTGTGGTAGCATCTTTTATGCGCTCATTACCTTCCAGGTTATTAACATTGCGCACTTTTTAGCTATGCGCCAGTATGTGATTCTTCTCTTTGTGGTGCCTTTAGTAGTCATTACCGTCGGCATAGGACAGAGCTTCAACAAAATCATGAAGCAAAGGTGCAACTACCTGCCCAATAGTGCTAAGGAGCTAGAGGAAGGAGCCAATTTCATGTACAAAATCTCGCTTATGCGTCGTGAAGTAATCAAGAACTGGAAAGAGTCTTCCCAGGTAGAGAAAGTTTTCCTTAACCTCAACCACACCAAACGATCCTTGTTCTTCACCAAAGAGCCGTACATCTACAAAGACCTTTCCCTACTGCCTTCCTCATCAGCCGCCATTCTTCCCAACTGGTTCTGTACTGTTCTTTGTTATCTCCAGGCCGAGGGCGACTCTACCATCTTTCGTCTCTAATTGGGTTAGTATTGGGTTGAGTTGAGTTGGGTTGGGTTGGGATAATCTCTACCCAATGCCACCCTAGGTTGTCATCTCTACCTCTATCTCTACCATCACCCTACAACCTCACTTAATCCTACCTAACCCAATTACACCTTTATCAGATTGTTAATTTCTGCATATTAATACTAACCCATAGACCACTACTGACACACCACCACTCAACTTAGTACTAACTTAGTATTAACTTAAGATTAACTCAATAGCAACTTAGTATCAACTTACTACTAACTTAAGACCCACTTAGTATCAACTTAACTCCATACTAACTTAACTCCATACTAACTTAACCGAACCCAACTTAACTCAACTTAATTCAACTTAATATTTCGCTTATAATAAACACTAACCCAATACGACCAGTAGAGCAGTGTACTAACCCAATACTAATTCTATTTATTGTTTACCTTAGGCCAGTACTGCTAGCTTTTGTGGTTTGATGGCCGAGCGGTCTAAGGCGTTCGACTTAAGATCGAATCTCCAATTGGAGGCGCGGGTTCGAATCCCGCTCAAACCATCTTTTTAGCTTCTCCTTTTTCTTTATCAGATGCCCGAGAATAAGAACAAGCGCGTTTATGAGCCTAAAGTAGCTCAACTCCTTCTTGATGAGTGCGAAGGTTCGGGCTTGCCCGATCTAAAACCGGGTGATTTGCTAAGACCTGCTGTTAAACCTCCTATTCCAACGACCAGCTTTTTTGATACGTCTTTCAAGTTAGAGGAGAAAGAGTTTCCTTTTGCGGTTGAGAACGAGTCTTTCTATAGTGAAGCCACTAACGCTCCTTTTCAAGACTACTCGATTCCCACGGTTAGAACCGAAAGTAAGATCATTTATACTGATAGTAGCCAGTTTGTGACTCCACCTCGCAAAAAGCCGCGAGCAATGGTGTTTAATAGTCCGCAACTACTGGATCCCGATGAAAGCATTGATTTAGAGACCTGCACACTGCGAAAGCATCGAGGCGCCAGCCGCACTAAAATCCCTATTGTCGGCCTGCCGCCTAGCTCTACAATAGGTCCGACTGAATTTCCCTACTTCCCTGGGTTTAAAACGGCTTTAGGCCAGGCAGTTGTAGTTCAGGAGGACAGTTTAATTAAAGCCCGGCGCAGTCTTGATTTCTTGCAACCAGCCCAAGTGAAACAACCGCCTAAGGTCCTGTTACCGCGCGAACGAATGATTCTATCGGCCCAAGCGGCCTTTCATGCCATGCAAAAGGAGATCTTTCCTGTTACCCGCACTGCGGCTGATTTTCACTCTCTCTTCTGTACCTTCCAGTGGACGTGGATCTCCCTAATGCCCGTAATTGAATCAATTAGACGGCGCGATTCAGATATGGCCCAGAGAGAGATTGAAGACCTTATTATACGGGAGGCCAAACGAAGATGGAAACAAAACCATCCCTCAATTCTGCAGCGCATTGTAGAACGCGATACTCAACCTGGGGTGTATATGAAGCTGCTCGTGATCAAGGAAGGCCGGAATAGTATCTGGGTCACCGATGGACTCTATTCCGTTCGTGCTGCTTTAGATCCGCATTTAGTTGCTATCGCCAGAAAGATCAAAGTAGGCCGAGTCCTACAAGTAATTGGAGCGACTTTATTACTACCAGGACCTACACCGATTGATGAGGTGGCTGCCCAGGAGACAATAGCCATTCAGCTCAACTACAACGGGGTTAAGCCATGTCTTAGTGGCGTTCTTGGCTACCAGCCTTGTTCAGCCTATCTCCGCTCTGTTTCCTTTTTCAAACCCCAAAGTGGGACTGTTGGCTGTGTTTCCTTGTACTTTGCCAAGCTAGTTTGTTCCAAGTGCGTTATTAACCTCAATGGCTCTAAAACAACTATTGACGAGTCGCGCCGAGAAGAAACCCTTGAAACGGTCTATGCCAGTATTAAAAAGCGCTGCCTTTCAAAAGAAGAGGAGCAAGAGGTCTACCGAACCATTAGTGTTACTCGTTTTGTCCAGTATGAGGTCACTACGGACTACAATCCCTCTAACATTCCCATCTACCTAACAATTTGGCAACCACCAAAAGACGAAGACTTTCTGCACAAGAGGTTTGAAGTCTTTGTGCTCAACACTTCCTCATACGCCCCTAACTCCAAGGCCCTCTTCCTCACCTCAACTCGCTACTCTGTCTTCATTCCCATTATTGATCCGCCCCCGAACCCCTATGAAACCGTTATCCACTCTAAATACTATAAATAAACCGCTTACTAACTAATTCCTAACCAACTACACCAAACTACACTAAACTCAATACCAACTACACCCAATTAGCAACCATCTCTTTATTTAAGTTAGCACTCATTTTAATCGCAATACTAACTCAATACCAGCCAACTTAATACCAACACAATATCAACGCAATTTAATATAACTAATTACACAACGAGATACACAATACTTACTTTACTTAACTCGACCGCACTCTCTACCACACTAAACACTACCAAACACTACCAAACACTACCAAACCAAACACCACACTAAACACCACACATCTTAAACTCAGTAAATACCATAGATAACCCCTGTATTACCCTATTTGGACATGTTTTTTTTAGTACCCCCGGCAATGAAGATACTTTCATGACTAGAGTCGCTGACTAAAGATGAATGAATACTTCTGAGCCAATTTATTTAATAGTTCTTGTGCTAGATGGGCACGTTAGTTTAGGCTAGCAAACACATCGCTTATTCATATACAACAAAGTGATGTTTTTGATGACGAGTCTGAACGCAATGAATGACAACTTATACTGATTGTTTGTATATAATATCTTGCAAGTGATGATAATGCTTTCACGACGGTCGACTGAACGATGATGACTAGTATATCTGATGCGTTTATTGTTTAATTTCATTTGTTTAATGTTTGTTGTGACATTTGTTTGTTGACAGATATGGTAATTAGTTGTGGTGATTAAAATAGATATAAATATAGGATAGAATCTTTGGCCTAATGAAACTAGTAAGTGTGCGACATGGTTTGGTGCTGGCTGTCGGCTATTTAGCTGTGGTACATGCTTCTTTATTCGATTGCTTTGGCCAAGCAACGCTTCCTGTGGCTAATCCGACTATAACTGCTTCTCCGGCACTGCATATGCCTAAGCCAATGGGGATTTCTTTGACCGATGGGGAGAGTTTGCCTTTGGTCGATATACTTCAGCACAGTTGGGATGTAATAGATACGGCCATGAAAATGCGGATGGCGGCAGACGCCACTTCTACGTTGTCAACCAACGATCCAGCCTATGATATAATTGCTGAGAAGATGCAGGGTGTCTTTTCCTTGTTTGAAATGCTGGCTATCTTTATCAATGACGAGCAGGCTAAGGAGGAGTATCTTCATGCCGTGTATAATCTGGAGATCCAAAACATGTACAAGGCCCACCAAGATATCGTACTTAACCACATTGCTGACGTGTACTACACCACCGAGATATCCCAAGGGCTTAAATTAGTTCCTGGCTTCAACTTTGTCTTGAACAACATTGTTGATATCGAGCGTGGCTTCTTACATTCTCGGGGCAAATACCAGACGCGGCTTCTGAGCTACTTCAGTTCAAGTAAACAAGAGCGACGATTGGGTGACATCTTTGCCGGAATTCGATGGAGGGATCTGCTAAGCAAGAAAAGTACGTCTGGTCTGTCTGGTATGCCCGGAGCATCTGGTCTGTCTGGTATGTCTGGTATGTCTGGTATGCCGGGCCAGTTAGGATTATCTGACTCTCAAAAACACATCTTTGACTATTCACAGTACGCCGGCGATGCTAACCCCTTAACCACCGCTGTTCCATTTGCGATCCACCTTCCTATTGGGTTAGGCACTAGTGTAAACCCTATTGCCGATATCATCTTTGTGCTTCCTCAAGCCGGTGTTAGCACCTACGACACTTGGGCCAAGAAAGCCATTAGAGACCCCGCCTCAATCAAAAGCATTCCTTGGGCATACTTTGACACGGACATTTTCTTCGCTAACCGCGACGAACTTGACTTTGCCATCTTGTCTCAAGTTGAGGCTAAGTTCCGTGACGAGCTGGCAAAAGCCCAAAGTGTTGTTAATTTGAACCCATTCACCGCAGTTTATACTATGGGATCTCAAATCATCGACCTTTCCGCTCTCTTTAAGGTTTACAAGGCTATTTGTGCGCTCCATGTGGGACAGAACGACTCATTGACTAAGCTGCACTTCAAGTCCTTTGTCTTTGACATTGTCTCGTCTTGTATCAAACAGCAAATCAGCTTGGGCCAGTACAACGAAAAGCTCAACAACTTTTACCAAGTGCTATACAAGATTTACATCCGCTATCACGAGCTCTACACAATCAACCAACAGGCCATTAACTTCTGGAAGCTCACTGCTAAACAGCAGAGCCGAATCTTTAGGGACTACACAAAGGGCTGCGCGGTTCTTCCAGTGCTGCCTTTCTCTGCCTGGATCTAAGCATTCACTTGAGTTATTCAGTGGATCTTCTGAAATCCGAATGTAATCAATAAAAGTCATTGGCATGAGTTGCAGACTACCCCATTTCCAGATCTAATAGTGTTTTGATCTAGCACGCCACGAGTTAGTATTTACTGACCACAGGTCTTATGGACTCGGCATCTATGCTATTTGGCTATCTCTGACCGGCTTTAACTGTTCATTGGTTCGATGTTAATTCAGTATGCAATGGCCCTGCTGGCCTGATGCCAATCGGCCCTTAGTTGCCAAAAAAGCCCGGCAGACTGTTCAGCTAGTAGCAGGCCATCCTGTTTTACTTAGAAGAATCGGTCCAATAACAGCACTCTATACAATGGAAATATCTCGTTTATTGAGTTAGGTGGGGTTGAGTTGGGATTGGGTTAGTATTGGTTTGTTGATTAAGAGGCAAGGTGTAGCATTGCGTTGGGATTGTGTTAGTATTGCGTTGGGATTGCGTTGGTGTTGTGTGAGGAGTTGGTTATGGCTTGGTCTCAGTGACAGTTTGTTAGATTTAAATGGGAAGACAGGTGCCAAAAAGAGAGTCTGGCTTGGATCCGACGGTGAAGATAAACTCACTGCTGCTTGCCTGGGCCTACCAGTTTTGTCTGGCTAGTCAAGTCTTTATACGCCACATAAGACAACATAATTTCGGGCTTGAGTCAGTATTGAGTTAGTGGCAACATGCCAACTTAGAATTTTTGTCTCTATCTTTGTTGTGGCCGGTATTGGATTGAGTTGGTATTAGGTTGGGATTGAGTTGGGATTGAGTTGGTACTGTGTAGTTGGTATTTGGTATTCGGCCGCTAGTGGGATGTAAACAGCCGAATGGCAATGGTGGCCAGCGCAATAATGGCCTTGTATGGTTATATAAGATTTGTTGTTGTTAATTTCTTTTTGGGAAAGATTGTTATTGGCGATGTTTTGTTTGTTTGTAAACATGCCAGCTGTCAATTATGATAGATTAAGTGGGCATGCTGATTAAACAATGGAAGATATAAATACTCTAGTGAAATGTTATTCATGTATAGAAAGCTACTGTGTTCAGCCATTGCGACGGTACTTTTGTTCGGGCACTCAACCGCCTTCTCTACGCGGCCTTTCATAAGCACTAAGACCATAGGCACGTCTAGCCTAGCTTTATTTTTCAGCAGCATCTGGGGTCCATCCGAGCTCTGCGGAAAAACAAGTGGTTTAAAATGGCCGATTGCAAGAAACCTTTCGGTTTCTAGTGGTTCAGCCCATGGAAATTGGATTGTGCTCAGTCCGTTTAATCTTACTGCTTCTGACCGAGCCATACACCTTTACGTGCGCCATGGTGTTCCTTCTGCTCGAATAGTGCGGGGTACTTCATCAATTGAGCAAGCACATACCAAGCAGTTAATGAGCAAGCGGACGTCCGATGCTAATGCTCAGACCGACCCCCAAACCATTGAGACTATCTTTAAACTTTGCGAGGAAAGCCCCGGCCATGACAGTTGGGCAGGGAAACTGTTGGACAAAATCGACCTCTCGACCTCCAAACTCAGTATGAATGTGCTGCCACACCGAGCACTAATCCGAGAAACCTTTAGATGCATGCTTTTGCACTCTCAAGGAGCCATCGAGTCATCCTTAGAAAAACTACAAGTCGGAATTGCTACTACTGAGAAGGAAACTAAGTTTCACAATATGATCGATAGTATCTTAGAAAGAGCAAACCTAAGTAACCTTGAGGTTTTGCTTAATAATCTCGAAGAAAAGTATCCCTTAGCTCTTTCTTGCCATTGCAAAGTCTACATTCGGGACATGTACAAAAGAATCCAAACCCAGCACATGACTATCATTGCTAACTGTGTAGGTAGTACTTTATCCCCAGATGCGTTGACTAGTGTCCAGGCGCTCAAACAAGTTGTGGGCCACATCAACAACGCTATTAGCAAGACGTCATCTGAGGAGTATCTCAAAGACCTTGAACAAACCAAGGAAGTTCTGTATACCACCATTGGTGCTGCTTACCTACTCCAAAGAACCCAAAAGCACCTTTCCCATGCCAACGTCACCGAAGCTGATGATTCTGAAATCTCCAAACACCTATACGAGGCACAAGGTCTACACATCCGTAACATCACCGAACAAAATGTTAACGCCGTGACTCTTGATAAAGACACCCTTATTGGCCATCAGCAACGGAGCTACTTTAGCGGTCGTGTGCTGATACCACAGCCAGCCATTATCGACACCTCTAGCTCTATGGAGTTCCATCCCAAAGACTTACTGCCCTCAAGGTTTAGGCCTGTGAACATCTCTAATGAACCTTTGTATAAGATCTTTGCCCAGGATATTTCCGACAACGTTATGAATAGCCTGAAACAGCTCAGCCCCGTGGTAATGACCCATCTAGTGAATGTAGCCAACAAGATCCAGACCAGCAATGGCCTTGCAACTTTACCAGGCAGCCCCTCACCTATACCTAAGCACCCGCTTAATATCATAACAACTTGGCTGTCGCAGGAAATTTCCAATCTCTACCAAACCAGTTTGGTAACTTTTGACCCATTGTTACAGCTGAAAGATGTTGTTGCTCTTAATGTTAGCCCTAGCTTTAACATTCACTGCACGAGTGTCTCCAACCAATCCATCGATGTAAACGTTAGCTTCTTCCATCCTCTATCCTTGCACGCAATTTCCAGCATGAAATGCAGTATTCCTTGCAACCATTCTCTGCAGCACAGCCCTCTTACTGTTGTCTGGGAGAAAATATCACTTAATGACGCAAAGATGAAGGCAATCAATGAGAACATTAACCTTGGCACCCAAGAAAGCAACCGTAGGCTTAATTACCTTCACCGCGTGTTTGATAGCATAGCTAATGACATTGAAAGTAACAAACAGACCCATAGCGTCGCAGACATTCTAAACGGCCATTTGAATAGTGCAACTGGTACCCACAACAACACTAACTGTGCTTCAAAGATTAGCCTAGCGATGGTCCTAAAGAACGTTCTTGGCCTTCTACCATTAGACAATCTTGTTTCTCTTGAGGAGATACCTTACACGGGACAAACCTTCAAGGTTATTGAATCTGTTCTAGGAGTCATTGGCTATCTTAATGCCGCGGGCATAGACAGCAATAGTCTTTTCATTCTGCTCGAGACCGATGATATGTCGCAAAAAGAAACCATCCAACGGTTCTTCGTTGCCCTTAAGAACGCTTTTGATGCTCTCCTGACAACAAACACCAGAGTTTACAACAATGCCCACCCTAGCGGCCTGTGCATAGACTTTAACATGCAACGCGCAGAGCTTACTAAGAGCATTCTCGAAGAAGCCAAGCAGACAAGCTACTACCACAACACTCGCCAGATCTTCCCCCGCCTAACTAACCAGAGTGGCCTAAACTTGATTCCCACCCAAACCACGCCTATTTCATACACAGTCAATGTCTTCGCAGAAAACCCCAGTGCTAAATCCATCTTCACCAACGAGCTTAGCAACGATATAGTCCTGAGACACCATGGATACTTAACAAAGAGCCTCCAAGACCCTTTGTCGGCAATCTTTGGAGACAATATCTCCAGGCCACAGCAAATGCTTGTTTCTTCTCTTTTAGAGATTTCTCTTGTTGCCCCACAGCCCATCCAACCTTTGCTGGACTTTGTTCTCAACAAACTGTTGTTAGCCAATGCCAACATTCGACTGGCCGAGGCTACCAACCCTTAACCGAATGAAACAGCCAACAAAATAAAGCTAATTCGTTACTTCTTCTCTTGGTATTGGTTCTTGGTCCCTATAAATACGCAATCGCCCTCAGACTATGGCGCACAAGAAACGAAACCTTCCAGACAAAGTGCTCGCCTCTGCTCCCACTAGATCTACCCCTGGAGACAACAACCTAGCAGATGCATTCACTAAATCACAACCATCTAGTTCCACTATTGCCAATGGAACTGACCAGTTCTTGTTAAACCAGATGAAATCAGAAATACGCCGCCTTTACGGTGAAAAAGTAAATATGGCAAACACAAGCTACATCCTCAAACCCCACGAGTTCAAATGCTTAGCCCGAATTCTTTCTAAATCTCTCTGGGGCGAAGAGCGGGCCCTCGATACGGTTGATGATTTGATATATGCGGTTGACGCTCTTTGTAACCGAACGGCTTCTCAGACCGTCTTTGGCGAACCGGCCGAGCAAAGTCCTTCTCTAACCGAAGCCAGTGTGAGTGTTCGCTTTGTAACGGGTGGGCTAAAGGCCCTTCTTTCCAGCGATGTGCCTACCTCACCCAAGACGCGCACCTTCAAAGACGACATTAGCTCCCTAGCCGAGGCCAAAGACCTTCTTCAAAAGCGCTTAGAGACCACTGGTCATGCTAATCTTGATTCACTTATTGCTGAAAAGGAACGACTTCAGAAGAGTTTGGCAGGCATAATTGCTGAGTTCTCTATCCCACCCGGCGAGAACCTTCTGGCTTTTCTACGGGGCATCAAGCGCCGGGAAGAGCAGAAGTATGCCGAAGAAGTCTTCCTGCGGGAAAAGGGCGCCGAGTGCCAAAAGCGGCACTATGAAAAGACAATCGCCCAAATGAAGGAGCAGTCAGCTAGCTTGGTTGCCGAGAACCGCACCCTTAAGCGTCTTCTCAAAGAAAAGGAAGCCTCAACCACAGAAGTCCTCCAGGCCAGCACGAGTCTTGAAGAAACCGTAGCCCAAATCAAGCAAACTCTAGAAGAAGAAGAGAAACGCGCTAATTCCGAGCGCAAGGAGTACTCCGAGATCAAAAAGAGCCTAATTGAACAAAACAGAAAGATGCGGGCCGTCGTTCAAGAGCTAATTAACCGTATTAAGCAAGAAAAGAAGGAAAAGGAAGACCTGATGGCCTTGCAAAAGACAACAACCGAACAGTTTAGCATTCAGTAATAATAAAGCATTCGTTTTATTTTGTATGGGTTCTACTGAGGACATTAGTCTCTCCTTATCAACTATTGTGATTGGTAGTTCCTCTCGGTCACTAATCGACCTTTCTTGGCTCTCGCCAGTACCGGCTGAAAAGGAGCAGGCCCCTCTTTATGCGCCGGAGTGGATATCAGGGATAGGCGCGGCTGTTCATTCCGAAAGCACCATCAAAGTGCTTATCGCGGGTTGTTATTATAGCTTCTTGATTGAGAAGTATCCAACTAGCGAAGAATCTGTTGAGCTACTGCGGCACCGAGTTAAGCTTCACCAAGGCACAGCCAAAGCTAGCCCTCGTGCTAGAATAAGTGCGGCCACTAATGAGTGCGGTGGTGTAACTGGCAGCGGTGTACAGGCCTCAGGCGATGTAAGCAGTATAGAGTATGGTGATGGTGGTAGTGGCAGTGCCAATAATGGCTCGAGTTTGGCGAGTCGATTGTTCTTTCTTTGGGACCGAGCGGGAAGTGAGCTGGCAGTAGCACGGAACAATGCCTCGGCGGTGAAAAAGCATTTGAAGCTGGGACACTCCGAAAGGATTGAGTCGACAGCTAAGATTTGGGCTGAGATTCTGAAGCTCTCTTTAGACACAGGCATTTCTTTTGTGCCCTTAGACGAAAGTACTGTCGAGTCGGCCCTGGTTTCACTGCAACGGAGTATTGATAAGCAGAAAAAAGGCCGGCCTGTAATAGCTCTTAAGAAACGGGCCGATCCGAGCGATGTACTCAAAGAGATGGTCGGCAGTGTGACCGGAATCACGGCCGCGGAAGTAGATGCGATAGTGCGTCGTTTTAGGAGCACCCGCGGACTACTGGAAGAGGTGCTAAAATTAAAGGGCCCCGAAGCCTATGTGCCTGTTGATGGGGTAAGAAAGAAAGTACTAGTGGCAATTAGATCTTTATTTACTGAGTAATGCAACATCTGCCTAACGATCACGGCGGTTCAAACGGGCTAAGTCATCTAGGTGGGCTATTCCTGGGGTTGGGCTACCTATTTTGGCGATCCGCTGGAGTATGCGCTCCTTTCTGGCCTCTTCCTGTTTATCAGCGGCCATTTGGGATTGGGAACTAGCAGGGTCAGATGCATCTAAGCGGGCTTTCTGTTTGAGAAAGAGAACATTGCTTTGCAGCTGGTTTAACAGATTGTCGGTTGACTGAACAGGTGACCGGCTAGATAATTGCGACTCTCGGCATATTTTAGGGGAAGCAGTTTGAATATAATTGGGTTCAGATGCTGTTGAAACTAAAGCCCTAGAGACTTCTTGCGGCTTTGCTAGCGAAAGGAAATTACTGAGTTCAGATCGGTACCAAGCTAACACACCCATTGCTCGGATGTACCCTTGCTCAATTATTTGGAGCTCTTCAATTGATAAGCTTCTAGGTGCGGGAGTAAGAGGTGCTGCAGTCGTCGTGGGCTTCTTTATCTCAGTGCGAATGATGGGATTATTTGCAGCAGTAAGCTCAGCTATAGTAGCAGTTGCTATTTGTAGGGGCCGAACCTTGGGCTGTGGCCTGGTTTCGACTGCTGCGGCGCGCCTTTCTAATAAGCCAGAATCAACAACTAATGGATGGGCAATTTGTACATCAAAAAGTGGTAGTGTCTTGCTGGGCCTAGAAACCTTGACTGGAGGGGCCAAGTGAGCATACTGAGGTAGAGGACGCGCCGAAAGTCCAGTTGGTCTAGCCATAGCTGCTTTCTTTGCTTCTTGAGCAGCTAAATAAGCCTGGATTTTTGGCGCCCTTCTGGTAGCAAACTTAGCAACACGAGTCTTTCGAGCCTTGTACAGTCGCAAGAATAAAGCTCTCTCGATTTTCATATTGCGCTTAACTAGGTATTCAAACTCTTGGCAGAGCCTTAGTCGAAATAGGCCGAATTTTATCTCGTGTTTATCTTGAGAATCATCAAACCTGTTGGCTATTTCGATACATTGGGCACGGTGGACCTCGGCTTCGCGCAAGTAATGGGTAAAGCAAAGAGACTTATACTCCTCGTCGTCAAACATTTCCATAACGATTTCCTCATCTATGTCCTGGGCTGAAACAATCTTGATCAATTGCCTACGGTCAATGTCAGCCTGGATCCGGTTGTAATCCTGAGTCATAAAGAATGGATTGACTAGTTGGTTGCATACTTTCTCGTCACTTTCAAGGGCTATATCACTATGGTAGCTGATGCGGTTTAGTGCCCATTTTTCTCGAGTGTAGGGGAAAACCTCCTTCCTAAGTGAAGGATCTGCTTTAATCGCATCTTTTAAATGCATGAGGGTCTCCTGATAGCTCATCTCCGCTGAAAAGATAAGCACACGCTCGTCGGTACATGGCACGGGATGCTCAGCTTCTTTTCCTTCAGCGGGGAACATGATCGTTCGAATACGCGGGGATAAAAGCACTATAGCTCTCGTAGTTCGAATCTGGATGCCGATGAATTCTATTGCACATATTAGTGGGTATATAACATAGGACTGAACAAACTTTGATGCATATATTACGGGAACACAGACAATCATATATAAGCACGACCTGACACCACTTCCTTGCTTGGTGATGTAGTGATATGCTTTTTTGGTTGCTCGCCAAATCTTGCTAATACGCTTTCTCCACATAGAGCGCGGGGTTATCATGTGTTTTGATCATAAACTTGTATTTATACTTTTAGGGCAGGCCTAGATGATGGTCTGTTTATCAAAAAGACCTGGCTACCAACCTAGATTCAATAGCAAACAAGCCCCGTTTAATGAAAAGAAGGCCCCAACAGGGTCTATTTTCACTTCTAGACGTTTGAATTGACTTTGTCCAAATGAGTTAGTATTAGTTGCGATGGTCTTGCGTTGGTGTTGCGGTGACTTGGGGTCGATCTATTGATTAAAAGAAGGGTTTGAATTTGGATTGAGTTAGGTAGTCGAGCAGGCGGATTGGAATTGGGCGTATTGTTCAGGTTTTGGTCGGTTTATAGAGTGTCGAGTTAGACCTGTAATTGGCCCGGGTTGGGCGATTGCTTATTGGAGGTGATGAAATCTAATTGATGAATAGCAACGCAATGGAATTTTCAATAAAGTACCTGTCCTATTAAGTTTTACTAGCTAACACGAATGGTTTATTGGGTTAGTATTATAATGCTATTGAGAATAAGTAAAGTAGTTATTGAATTGGATAGTTGTATTAAGTAGGGGATGAGGCTTCTGAGCCGTGTTTTTTGAGAATATCATAGATTTTGCTGCTAACTGAAGATAGATCGTCTAGGGACTCGGCGTACTTCTTCATTCGAGAGAAAGTTCGTTTGTTCTTTGTTGCGTTCTTTCGGGTTGGCTGTGGTTTTGAATGTTTATCCGGCTTCTTGGTGCTCTTCTTCTTCTCGCTTTTCCTGGCTTGGTAGGGAGGAGTGCTTTTGCTGCTGAGCTGGCTATCATTGCTTTCATTGACGGATTCTTCTAACTCTTCGGAAGAGTGGGAGGCTTGGGTCCCACTGGAATGCTCGGTTATCTCAGAATGTGAGCGGTCCTCTGTGGGCTCCGTTTCCGAAAAGGCACTCTCTGCCATCGCCCTGGCCGGTGTATCAGAAACGGAGGCCTCGCTGTACCCATCCAGAATGCTAAGTATTTTGCTCTGGGGGCGTTGTCGCTCTAGAAGTGTTGGCTTAGAGGGCTTTTCTTGCTGGAAAACTAGGGCTCGTAAGTCAGCTAAGGTCTGCTTCTTTTGAAGGCCGGCCAGGACTTTGTCGAGCAGTGGGTCTTTCTTCTTTCTCTCCTTGCCTAAACTTGCCTCGTCGGGTCTCAGAACAAATGAACTCCCGAGCTTCTTGAGAGAGATAAGCGGCGTCTTTGGTGCTTTAACGTAAAACAGGTGCACATGTACAGTTGGGGAAAACGTGACCTTTTTGGAGCTTGGCTGAACTGTCTCAGCATCCGAAGTCTGGTTTGACTTGTTGCGCTTGGCCAGTTCTCGTTTGGCCTTTCGCTTCTTCAGAAAGCGAGAAAGAGTCGTGAACGGCAGCAGAACAAAAGACTTAATGTGTTTGAACACTCTTTTATGTCTTCTTAGTGGCCGCTTCTTCACTTGCTTTGCCATGAAACAGAGTCTATTTGACCAACTTTATACCTAACTACTTTGTTTTACATTTGATTGGCCAAGACAATCTCCAGCCAAGAACAACTTAATACTAACTCAACCCAATCCAATACCAACCCAATACTAACTCAACCCAATACTAACCCAACTCAATCTTAACTCAATACAATACGAACATTTAGCCGTCTTTTATTATTGACTCCATAGGTGGGCGCTTATCTTTCTATGCGCTAGCTTCAGACTCGTCTTGCTGGGAATCAACGTTCTCCGATCTTGCTCGGCTGTCACTACGGGATCGACTGCCACCATGAAGCTGGTTGCTGTTAGTGGTTGTGGTGATAATAGTTGTTTGCTTGCTGTTCTTTGGCTGCTGGGCTCCGTACAAACGAACATATTCAGGTGGGAGCTCGGTGTATATGTTTTGCGGTGAGTCTGCGTTTGCATTGCCCAGGAGAGAAACTAGTTGCGAAAGAGCCTCCATACGAGCATTGGGCCCGTAGTCCTCAAAGTTAAGTGCTTCATCGATTGGGGTGTATACGGTAACACGGATGCCCACTTGCAGTCCTAATTGCTTGGCATACTCATCACCCTTCTTAACGTTGGGCCAGTTTCGAACTAGGTTCATTTGCGCCTGGCTTAGTGTGCCCGTTTGTGTGCTCTGGTCATTCTTTGCATTTGAATAGGTGTTGCTGCGCCGGGTGGAGCTCTGTGCTGAATAGTTGCTGTGCTGTGAAATGGCTCCTTCAGCATCGTACTCTGCACTTACATCGGCCTTAACCAAACTCTGTCCAAGCAATAACACTATCCCCAAGGGTCCCAAAAACTTCATTGCCTACCGGTCAGCCCTAGGTTATATGTCTGCGCCCCAAACACTTTCTCAGACCTGACCAATCTCCAGACCTGACCTAGAATTCCAAAACACCTTCAATCATTGTTACAGCCAGGTTCCTAGTTTTAGATACTCCCGAAGCACACAAAAGACCGACCACTCTTTGTCATTCGCCACTACTCCTACGCCTGCCTTATACTTGCCCAAAATCTCGGCTACTTTCTTTTGGGCCGTATCTGCGGCCTCGGGGGACAAAGTCAGCAGGACGTCTTCAATTAAACAGCAGTAAGCCAAAGCACAAACTAGGGCAGAGAGTCGCAAGACATCCCCTTCTTCATAAACTACCTCATTGGTTAGGAACTTCACCAAGATCCCAATAATCTCAGCGCGGGCTCCCTTTACTAGTACATCTTCCCCGCGCATAACTCCATGGCTAGTGAATAAAGCGGCTATTTGTTTCTTTCGACTAGGCGGTTTAGCAAAGATGTTCTTGGCAATTAGCATGGCGCCCACGCGCTTTCTTGCCGCCCTTATATGGTACTTGTCCTTCTTAAGTGAATAGCTCTCTCCATTTAACAAGAGCAGCCACTTCTTGACTTCACGGCCTTTGCTTGATCCTTTGATTTTATGGTAAATCTCGTCGTGAAACTCGTCCTGTGATACAAAGGCCTCGCGGGCCTGCAATATCTTTTGGCTATCCACCCATAAATCACCCCTTAAGACCAATTCACAGACAGCCAGTGCTCTAATTGACATTGAAACCGGATCTTGCAGGGCCAAAAGCACTGTTTGATAGGCGGTCGAAGATAAAAGCACCAAAATCTCAACTAATGTTAACTTAAACCGCAACTTTTGGGAAGACTCGAAGGCTTTGTGCCCCCCGATCTCGCGCCGCCTTAGAGTAAACTCCTCATCCATCGTCTCTAAGAAAATACTTTATTTATCCCCACTGCCTGCTAAGTAGTTGCTATGTTTAAGGAAGATAAAGCATCCTTCAAATCCAATTCCTGAGTCCTTTCTTTCGCCGCCTCTAATGTCTTTGGTTTTGCGAACAGCGGCAATAATAGCATGGTTAAGCATGCGGTCGACACTAATACCTGAATGGCTGCGAATGTAGTTGAGATATTCAATAATACGGCAGAATTTCTTGCCGGCCGTTTTATCTTGTTTGTTCGTGCTGGCATCAATAAGGTGTTTTTCAATGGAACGGATGTGGCGGAGGTACAGAATGCCGCGATCTTGCAGATCAGCTTCTTTCTCACAAGATACGAGTGTGTCGCATTGGGACTGTAGTTCGGTAAGTTCTTCAATGAGCACCCGGGGAATACGAGTTCGTTTTAGGCCTTGGACAACTGCTGCAAGGGCATTGGCATTATTGAGGGTTTTAAGGGCGCGGGCTACCTCTACCCATTGGTTGGTGCTGGCCTCGGCATCGTATTTGGGCGAGGAGGATGTTTTGGTTGGGGGACTGCGATGGGCGCTGATTTGTTTGGGGGCGGCACTGTTTTGGATGATAGTACTAGCCACGAATGAGGAAAGGCTTTCGGTGAAAGTTAGGTAGCCATAAAGATTAGGGGACTGTTTTTTAATGTCATCAGCTGGTTGGAATTTAAGAATTTCAACTGGACTGATCTCAATAATAGTGCGAACTTCTGTTGCGGTTATTTCGCGGGCTAGCATGACTGGGTCTATTTCCATTAAGTTAATGGCTTCGGCCTCGGAAATAGCGGCATTTATTTCACGCTGTGCCACTTCATTTTGATTATCATTTAGGTTGGTATTGGTTTGCGTAGGACTCTTATCTTTAGGACTGCTGCCGCCTTTATTCTTGCCCTTTTCGGCCTTCTTAAGCTTTTCCCTCTCTTTCTCGTACTCAGAAAGCATTCTTGAAACTACGTCTGGGTTTGGGTTGTATTTAGCTTAGCATAACATCAATTGATTAAGTGACACCTAAAACATCGATTATCTTCTTTTCTGACAGGCACGGCGCAAGGAGTAAAGGACGGCCGTTATGTGCATATTTCTATTGAGTTAGGTTGTGTTGAGTTGTGTTAAGTTGAGTATGTTAAGATACTAATCCAATAAATAGTAAGACTTGATAAGGGTGATATTATGTTGTTTTATCCCATAAGAAGCAATGCTAGATTGGGTTGCGTTACGTTTGGTTTTGGCTAGTGCTTACCTAAATAGATATAACATACCAAGTTAACTATGTTTTAGGCTGAGTTGGTATTAGCTAAAGTTGGGTTAGTATTCATATACATGATATATACTAATAACTTAAATTCTAAAATACTACTTCCGTTTCTAAATTAGGTTGGCTTTAAAATAATATTAAGTCATTTATTCAAAGTAGAATAAAGTTAAGTTTGGATAGGATCTGGTTAAGTTGAGTTAGGCTTGAGTTATGATATGGTTAGGTTGAGTTAGGCTATGGTATGGTTAAGTTAAGTTAAGTTGTGTTATGATATGATATGATTAAGTTAAGTTGAGTTAGGTTATGATAAGATAAGATATGGTTAAGTTAAGTTGAGCTAGAGTGTGGTAAAATGAGATAAGATAAGATCTAGTTGACACTAGAAGCCATCTGGCAACCAAATGAGCATAAATTAGTGGTTAGATGCGCATTAAAGTCAAAAGCACCAAAGAAGCACCCTATCTTATCTAACCACAACTCAACTCAACTCAACTCAACTTAACACAACCTAACCTAACACAACTTAATATCATAATACACGTTTTATTTGTCATCTAAGCTATACTTTGGCCAGCACTTAAATCTTAACAACTAACTAAATACATAGCCTAGCCAACTTTATCATCTTCCACGGGCTTCTCAAGCCCATCTAGAGTTGAAGTGCGACACATTGGACACTCATTGGCATACTGGGTCAACCACTCAGCAATACAGCTGCTATGAAACATATGGGAACAGACCAGCCGACGAACAACAGCTCCAGTTTCAATCTCCTCCAAACAAATCGGACACTCGCCCTGAGGCTCATCAACGGTCTTTTCCGGACTAGCCTTATCTAAATCCTCTTGTTTCATCGTTTTAACTCGTGGTTCTTCCTCACCAATATAGTAGATCACTGTAAATACAATACTACTGGGATCCTGTCCATAACTAGATGGCATCTGGTGTAATAACAACTCAAAATCCTGTGAATTAACTGAACTACCCGAACTAGCACCCGTGCTCAGTCCCATCTCTCTTCTTCCAATCCCCGCTCCTCCAAACATCCCTTGAATAATCGAAAGAATAGTCCTTCGTGTCTCATCATCAGTAGTACTACCCGTATTACTTCCAACACCACTACCCTCACTATTATCCTGTAAATCCGCTAAATTATCTTCACCTGTATTGCCTTCACCAGTCGAGTCACTAGAAACATGCACACGCCGGGCTGAGCCCAACAGACGAATAAAAGAGTAAAAAGCAGCCGTTATAATCGAAAAAGGATGTAAATTAGAAGCTTCTAGAACTTGGGGTTCTTCAGGCGGATGAACTGTCTCGGACTCAGACTCTTCTACCGATTCGCGTCGGACTCGTTTTGAAAGTCTCTCCTCGTTGTGTTTCTTCCGCATAACCAATCAAAACGAAATTTTATTTATGTGGTAACTCTTCTGGAATACTTCTATCAGGGGTAGAGTATCTAAAAGTTGGTGTTTCTTCGTAGTTCTCTTCTAATTGTGTGACATAGATATTGATGGGTGTTTGTGTTGTTTTTGGTTTTACTTTTGTATTTTGATTTAAGTTGGAATTTGTATTTGCATTTTGAGCTGAGTGGGAATTTGTCTTAAGATTGGGATTTTGATTTTGATTTTGATTTGGGACTGGATGGTGTTTTTTAAGAATACCAATAGGTGTGGTATTGGAGGGGGTGAGGTGGGTTGAGTTAGGGTGGGTTGAGTTAAGGTGGGAAGGGGTGGTATTAGGGTGGGTGGAGGAGGTGTTGGAGGGGGAAGGGATGGAGGAGGTGGAGAGAGGGGGTACAATAAGGACTTCATCAGTGAACTTGACTTTGGAAGGTTGGTGGGGGGCACAGGGTGGAGTCTTTCTTTTCTGGGGTGCCATTTTGTAGAGAATTCGGCAAGTGGTGTACTTGGCATTGATGGCTGTATTATGACGAGTTAGTCGGGCATAGAAAGACGACCAGGAGAAAGTACGGATGGCCAGTAGAAGGTCTGGGTGGTTGTAGAAGGCAAAAGGTTGTGTGCTGAGCAGGCATTTAATCTCGGCAAGGGATGTGTTAGGGGATACAGTCGCCATAATTAAGAAAAAAGAAGGGCGGGCGAATAGTTTGAATTGGGTTGAATTGGGTTGAGTTTAGATTAAGTTGGGTTTAGGTTTAGATTAAGTAAAGTAAAGCTAATAGATATAATAAAAAGATAAAGTAAGTCGTATTTAGTAAGTCGTATTCAGTGCTGTTCGCCGGACCAGTCCAGAATTAGGTTGAGGGCTTTGGTAAGATCCCCATCGGAATATACTAGTGCGATAAGATTCATTTCGCTATCGGTGTATCCAATGCTTTCGAGTTCCATGAGCTTCTCCGAGTACTTTTGTCTGGCTTCATCCCGATCAAAAGGCATAGTGTACATCACTGACTGGGGAGTTGGGTTGGCGGCTGAGTTGGCCGTAGGGGCAGTGGAGTTGCCTAGGGAGGAGTTAGAACTAATGGAGGAAGGATTAGGCTGAGTAGCTGAGTTAGCATTAGGGGGCATACCGAACATGAAAGGATCACGAAGATTTGGCATATCTGCTGAATTATTGATGACGTAATTCATAATAGTATTGAAATGCTCGGGATCTGATTTGGCCATTTCAGTAAAGCGGCTGATGTTATCCATTAAGGATTTCTTGGTGGCTTCAGGAATGTTCTGCATGGACAAAGAAGCTTCCATAAGAGACTTCATTTGTTCTGGATTCTTCAATAGTTCCTTAATGCGGGCATTAATCGTGCTCTTCATCTCTTCAGAAGGGGCTCCACCACCCATGGAAAGCTCTCTTAGCAAGTTTGGGTCGAGTTGGTTCAGGTTAGGAAAGGGTTGGGCGGAGTTAGGTTGAGTGGAGTTAGGTTGAGTAGGGATAGATTGAGTAGGGATAGATTGGGTAGAGGACGTGTTAGGGGCAGGGGCAGAATTAGTTGGGGGTGAAGCGGCCTTCTTTTCACCACTGGGCATGACTAGATGAATAGTAGAGCCGTCTTCTAAGTTGTAGCTAGCTAAGGTACTCTCGTCTTTAAGTAGTTTACCAGTGAAGATGAGTCGAATTTTGTCCTTTGAAGCAGAAATCTTATCACACAGTTTGTCTTTTAAGAGACTAACAGTATCATCCTTACTATCCATGGCAATGGTATGTAAATCGCCTTTGCTTGTCTTGATAAGTATATTCATTGTTTACCCAGCAAAAAAAAGACAATACTTAGATTGGGGCTAGATTAAGGGTGTATTTGGTTGGATTTGGCTGAGTTAGATTGAGTTAGATTGGGTTAGTGATTGGTTTTGATGATTGATGCGGGGTTGGGTTGATGCAGGGGTGTGTTAGTATTAGTATTGGTGCTGAGTTAGTATTTTGAGTTAGTATTTTGAATTGAATTGAGTTAGTATGGTAATTGAATTAGTATTGAATTGAGTTGGTATTGAATTGAATTGAGTTAGTATGGTAGTAGAATAAGATTAGTATGTGGTTAGTATTTATAATGGTTTAATGATACGATAGAGTGTCATGAGAATGTATGTGGGGAAGCGAGTGAGCTGGTATATGTACGTGAATAAAGAAGATTGTGTTTGCTTTGAAGTTGAGGTGGTATTAGATTGAGTTGAGGTGGTGTTAGATTGAGTTGAGGTGGTATTAGATTGAGTTGAGGTGGTATTAGATTGATTTGAGGTGGTATTAGAGGTGGATGGATCGGAAGTAGGTTGGGTTGAGGTAGATTGGAGCTGGTATGGATTGGATTGTGGTGAGGCTGATTTGGATTGGGTGGTATTGTAATTGTAGCTAATGGACTTGTTAGCATTTGAAGTGTGTTTGGTGGAGGTTGGGAGAGGTGGTGATTTGGAAACATGGTGATAGACGAAGTAGAAGAGAAGAAACAGGCCACCACTGAATGCAAAAAGTCGGAGAAAGAGCTGCAGCTTATTAGGCAGAGGGGTGTCACAGGTTTGCATGGGCTAGTGTTGAATTGGGGCAGGGGTGGTATCTATACTTAACCATTATTTCCTCTTTGAGATTAATGAAGTAAACAAGAGGTTAGTATTGTGTTGGTATTGTGTTAGTATTACGTATTAGGTTAATATTGTATTGAGTGGTGTCATGGAATAGAATGTCATTGTGGTTGGAGGATGTATATAAAGATAAGAGTGTCAATAAAGATGTTTGTTTAGATAGCATTTTATAGTTGAGTTTATTGAAAGACCGATCAACATGTATGTTCAACTAGAGAAGGACGGTTGAAGTTGGGGTTGTATATGGCCTATTTGGTTAGTACTATTGGTTGGAATTTCCACAATAACGTAGCTCTTTGCCCACGCTCTTTGATTTCTTTACTTTTCGGGCTCTAGGCGGTTCTTCATTACCTTCTCCTTTTTGCTCCTCAGCTGGCGTTTCGTCTTCGGGTTTAACTTCATTGTTAGTTGTTGTATTGCTTGGCGTGGGCGCTACAACCTCGCCGGGCTGTTGACTTCCCTCTGCTGGTGGGGCTATAGGAGCAGAGGGAGCAGGCCCACTAATAACACCAGAAGAAGGACCCGGGCCAGCAGTAGGACCACTAGAACCACTAGAAGAGTTTGCGGAATTAGAAGGAGCCGAAGAAGTGGAGGGATTAGAAGAGTTGGCAGAGTTAGAGGAGACATACCACCAACCCCCAACTGCTCCTGCAATAATCAGAAGAATCACTACTATCAAAACAACTACTAAAACAACTCTTTTCTTAGACATGAGGTTCTAATACCTTGTCTATTTATAGAGTAGATAGTACTGATGTTGTGATAAGGGGCTGTCATATCTCTAAGTGGGGATTGGCCATTTTTTTATGATGGGGGAAGAGCACGAGTCCTACTCCTTTGAATTAATGGACATTTTGAGGTACAAAGCACCCGATACCTTCCCAGAAGGAACCTCTCAAGATGTGATAGCTGCTATGGCGGAGTATACGCCAAGTCACTTACTAGATATCTACTTATTAGCGGGAGATGTGCCTGTTTGTGCTCTCTTACACCCACGTCTCTACAGCCGGATTTTTAAAGGATGGCTGCGGATTGGGAATGTAGTGGGGATTGCAGAGTCAATTGAAGATATGATAATTGATTTGGAGTTACTTAGTGATATTGATCCGAGTGAGGAGGATAGATTGATCAAAGCTAAGAGAGAGATTTATTTGACCATGCCTTCTCCCCTGTATCACCCCCGCGGGCACTACATTCCACTCCTATCCGATGATGAGCTCATTGAGTGGGATAGAAGGTGGAAGAAGTACCTGGAAGACTACACCGAAACCATTGAGGACCAAATAATCAATCCAAGTGATATTGATGTAGAACCAGCTGCCGAAAGTGAGCAAGAACTTTGGCAGAAGAAACGCCGAGTTAAAGAAAGATTGGGATATACTAAGACTAAAAACAATGTAATGAAAGGCCGGGTTCTCTTAAAATCAAAATTATTCACATTCCAAACGAAGAAACCAACAATTCCAATCTTCTTTTCCTTTATTCTAGGGACTGCACACGGCTTAACTAAGGTTTATGTTTGGGAGTCAGCGGCGCGCAAGTACTTCTGCCTGCAAGAGGGCGACTCAGTGGCTATCAGAGGATTCAAAGTCAAAAGAAGACAGGGAACGTTACTACTAGCCGACCGCACCAATTCCGATGCAGATACAAAGTACGCCCGGATTCCTGAGATCTCGGTTAATTTAGCAGATCCCGCCGGGTATATTCTAGAGGTGCCTGAGAGTCAGTTAGAAGACTGTACTGTCGAGCTAGATCAAGAGTTCACACAAATCAAAGGCACTGTGGAGTACGTGAGTTCTCTGCTGCGTACACCCGATAAGAACCGAGGCGAGAAGAAACTGCGTGAGTTCATTTATTTACGCGTGGCCGGCCAGATCATTAAGTTGTTTAGCAATGGTGTATCCGGAAGTCTGCTTAAAATTCGGGCCGGCAATTACGTTGATATCAGGCACTTACGCCAGTGCACAATTGGCCCCTTTATTTTCTATCTCTCCTCTATCTACACACAGTACTATCTAACCGAGTACGCATTTCATACAACGGACTACTACTCGCTCACCCGCCCATCCACGGGCACAGCTATTGAAAATGCCATTGGCTATCTGCCGGTTCCCTTTAAAACCACCGAAGAGTACTTTCAAGCCGCCGAGGACGGACTAGGTCCTCTCTACCGCCAAGGCGTAGCTATCCCCAAAAGTTCCCCTGATGCCGCATATCTGCGCAAAGAACGAGATATGTACTTTGGAGATATCATCTCTGTTTCAGCTGTCAAACGTAAGGTAGAACTACTCTATATGGACGAGGTCGTCCGCTTAGTTGTCCCTGGACGAATCCTAGGAGTCAGGCACCAGAACTCCGGCGACCAAATTGGCGAAACTCTATTCGATATTTCCTATAGTGCCACCGAATGCACTCTGCCAGAAATTGAACACTCTCGTTCTTCTATTAATCCAGAGCCTACAACCGAAACTTCTTTTATTGAGACCGTCGAAGAAAGTGCTTTTCTTCGCATTGGTGATGAAATGAACTATCTTGATATCCAGATTTTTCAAAATCATTTACTTGATTCTACTTCTTTTCTAGGTACAGTAACTGCCTTCTTCAAATCCGAAAGAACCAGTTTATCAGTCTACGAAGAGATAAACCAAAAAGTTGGTATGTACTTCCACTTTGTCCTAGATATCGTTCGAATTAGTGACAAGACCGTTGTTTATATCGGGGTAGCCGCTCTAACCCAGTAAATTTTAATGCGGCGTGAAGGCAAGGAAGGTATCAAGAAAAGTCCCAATCTCTTTGAGAAAGAAGGTCCCGAGACTAAGTATAAAGATTTCTACATCCCAGAGAGTTCGATTTATGACAGTAGACCTAGTACAACCCAAAAAAGAGGTCCAATTGTGCCCAGTCGTTCCGTGACTGTCTTTGGGTACTCAGCCGGCAACTTAGACCATGTTATGCGACGGTTTAAAGAGTGTGGCGAAATTAAAGAGATAAACTATGGTAAGAACTGGATGGACATTCAGTACGAGCGCGAGAAGTGTATGTTTACGGCTCTACGTGAAAATGGATGCATTCTTAATGGCGAGATGATTGGAGTGGTGCAGAAGAACCGCAAGGACATGGGGGCGATTTGGCTGACCGAGCAAGAAGTCCTATTTAAACGGGAAGAAGGAGTGCTTACTCGCATACTAGCCTACCTCTTTGGATAAGTTTGTGTTTAGATTGAGTTGGTGTGGAGTTGAGTTGGATTGTGTTGATGAAGGTGATGAAGTTAAAGTAGGTTTAGATGGATATTTAGGTGAGTATTAGTTAATAATAAACAAGCGTATTTAGTATAAGTATTTAATTGATTAGGTTGGTGTTAGTTTGGGTTAGTATTGGTGTTAGTGTGGGTGTTGAGTTAGTATTGGATTAGATTGGGTTATGATAATTTGAAGATATAAGATATGGTTGATATGCAAAAGTGAACGCATTGGGTGATGTTAGAAAGGCTTTTTGACTAGTGGATGAGTTTTAGGAACTAAGTCGATAAGATCGCCAGGTTCGAGATAATCATCAATGCGACCTTTATCTGGCAAGACGTCACCATTAAAGACAAAGACGGATGGGGATAGCTGGACTTTAGCAGTATGGTTGATCTCCTCTTGAGCTTTAAGAACCAACTGACCAATAGTGGTTTGACAATCACGATAGATAGTTAGAGTTGAACGGGGGTTGTACCTAATATTGTACGGAATTGGAGTGGGTTCATTTGGGCCGGAGTTAATTTCCTGGGGAAAGATCTCTAAGAAAAGAGAAGTTTGAGTTCCTCCAGTTAAAACATCTACTTTAGCATACTTTGATACTTCAAGGCCTTGATGACGTAAAGTCACTGAAACATTAAAATGGTCTTCATAATAGTCATAGATCGGCTTAAAACTACTATTTTCACGCAGTCTAAAGACTTTTTGAGTACCTCCAAATGACACAAAGAGATTAATAAGCTCAACACGTGAATCATCAACTATTGGGGCAGGAGGGTCCGGTTTAGCTTTGGCCGGTCGACGCAGAAAGTCCCAATCGCTCATGTAAACTTTTAATAGCCATATTTAGATAAATAAAACTTGCCCAATGGAGTAGTTTGTTGTGAAATCAAGACTAATTTGGCGAAGCAAGAATCAACAAGAATAAATCCAACCTCAAGTTTAAATCAAAATCAACACAATCATTAGGCTAAGACGTTAAAACTTTGGCAAGCAAATCAGTTTTTTGCGCATGGAAGAGAGTCAAGATGAAGAGCATAGACAGGCCAAATCTGTCCCGCACTCCTCAAAATCTCGTTTGATTGCCAAGTCAATTTCAAAGCCTCCTGGCCTAATAGATGCAGCTGTAGACTCCTCGAGAGTCTCAAGTGAGTGGAATGTGCGTGCGGCAGATACGGAAGAAAGTGCGGATATTGAGGAGAGCGGAGAGGGGGTGGACAAAGAAGAAGAGAGTTTAGGAGGCAGTACGAGTGTAGATGAAAGACTAGAAAAAGTGCAAGAGGCTTATCGGCACACGAAAGACTTTATGCTCTATGATATGCAAGTAATGCATATCTTATGGATTAGCGTTTACTTAGGACTTTGGGAGCGGCGTTGTTTGTTTGTTGAGCCAGTTAGTCTTTTTCAAGACCAAAGCTATGAGTTTCAATTATTATGGCGTGGAGTTCTTTGGCTGGGGCTATTAACTATTAGTGGCTGTGCGCTTGGTTTTACGATCGGTCATTTGTTAGTGGAATTGGGAGGAATTTCGACACTGCGGCAAGTAGGTCGGCTGGGAGTTCGATTGAGTCTCTTTTTTGGGCTGCTTTATGGGTGGATAAAGGCATGGCAGTGTCTGGCAGTCTATGGGAGTTGGATGATGGCTAAGGTAGTGATAGTGGTGGTTCATGGCTTGTGTTTAATCTTTGCAAGTGGAATTCTGTTTGGGGCCGGGGCTCGCTTTGCCCTATGGATAGACCGGAAACGGGTTAGACGAGGGATTTTGACGCCGGAGTATACATTGAAGCCAAAGAGCAATGGAAAGTTTCTAAGTGGGTGCTTTTTATTTGGTGCATTATTAGTGCTACTAGCGGCTACTATTGCTCTGTTAGGGATTGATGCTATCTTCTATGAATGGTATTAAGTTGAGTTAAGTTAAGTTAGGATTAAGTTGAGTTAGGATTGGGTTGGGTTAGGATTAAGTTGAGTTAGGATTAAGTTGGTATTGAGTTGAGTTGAGTTAGTATTGAGTTGAGTTGAGTTGATGAGACCTAACTTAACTTATCTTAACGTAACTTAACTTATCTTAACTTAATTGAGTTTAAATCTAATTCGGTGTTTGTGTGTGTATAAAGATGATAGATGAATAAACAGTGCGATTTAATGAATTTTGGGGTTTAGACATTGGATGGTGTGCTTTGGGGGACTGGTGTGGTTTTGCTTAGAGAAGGGATAATGCTGTCGAAGATGTGGGTTTGAAAGACTAGGACAGCAATCAAAATAATAGATGTAATGGAGAGAATGAGAGTGGCGTAGTCGAGAGTTTTCTTTATAGCGCGGGATTTGCGATCACTGCCTGATGTGTTGCTGTGTTGAGCAAGAATGGCAGAGGAGAAGAATAAAGTGGCTCCACAAAGGGGGATGATGGTTTGTGTGGCGATGGTGGCAACGGTGGGGAGTGAGAAAACTGTGCATAAGGGAATGGCGAAGATAAACGGCAGGGAAATAGTTAGGAGGATAACACGAAGGATGTTCTTCATCGGCAGCGAGACCTTCCTCCTTTGTGCATAGAAGAGGATAGAGGCGAAACAGACAAAGATCGAACCGAAGGTACAGATTAGATAGACGGCTTTTTGGATAATGTTATGGTTGTAGTTTGCTGAAACTGGAGAGATAATAGGATTAACGGTGGTTATGTTAGTGAAGATAACAAACACAGTCAGAACAAGAATAGCAAAAATGCTGATATGGAGTTTAGTTTCATCTATACCGCGGGTTCTGGTGTTCAGTTGCATAAAGATACTGAGGCCAAGGAAGATCATGGGAAGAACTATGATCCCGGAAAACGCGGAAAAGATAATGCTAAATACTAGCGAACCTGTGATGAAAATAACATTGATGGCTGTTTTCATGTACGAGTTTCTGGTTGGGGTACTTTGGGTTGTGTCGGCGGGGTTTGGAGTGCTAGGGATAAAACGGTACTGGAAATTGGGGTAGCCAGGTAGGTTGGTGGACTGGGTTAGGTCTTGGAGAAATTGATGTAGACCTTGGGTTTGGGCGGATTGCTCGGTGGTGGTTAGGTGCACCATAAGAATTGCAGTGTCCGCGAATCCAATCGCAATTTTGGCAGGGGTTAGTATGGGTTCGGGTGTAGATATGCCGGTATCTATGTTATTATTGCCCACTTGAAGATTAACGGCTATGTGGCGCTCGTTGGCGGGCTGGGCAGTACGCTCTACGGGCTCGTTGAGGGAATAGACTTTTAGATCAACGTGAGATAATAAGAGATTGAGTGGATGGAGAGACATTGCGGTTTGGAAGGGAGCTAGCGTTTTAATAAGCTGCTCGCCCGTGGTAAATGTGAGCTGTTGAAGGAGAGGAGTGGCATTGGCAGCTAGATTAGTTATTGTTTGGACTTGTCCTTCAACTGTAATTTGCTCTTGATAGATGTAATTGATGAGATAAAGAAGGTTTTGAAGTTCTGTAGTCTTGATGGGTTTCGCATGGATTTCACCGGCTAAGTTCTTGGTAAACTTATAATAGTCTTCTTGGGTGTTGTTACTATAGAGAGCTCGATAGAGATATAGCATAGAAATGATCTGGGTGGCTGTCATGGGAGTGTTTTGCGGGAGCTTTGTAGTACTGGCTAAGCTCTGAATAGAATCAAGGACTGTGTAAAGCTGTTGGGCCATCTCGGGAGTGTCGGGTTGGTGTTCGGGCAGAAAGGTTATGTCGAAGGAAGGATAGCGCTGAAGAAGTGCATTTTGTTCCTGGGTAAGCTCTGGTTTGTTTACTGGTGGCTGAGTAGCCGTTATAAAAAGCAGGTTGTATTGGCAAAAGACGCCGGCTAATAGTAATGAGATCAAGAGTCTAGTACATCTAGAAGCATCGAGCAGAATCATTTATTCTGACCACTAGTAGTAGTATATGTATGTACCACAAAGGAATAATGATATTTTACCAATAAGATGATAATTACGTGCATATTGCATCAATCAATTAGACGAGTTTAGGACAAATAAGCCAATGGGGGCGGGTCGCCCTATTGAATTATGGCAGACGTGCACCGGGTAGGGGTCGGCCATAGTCGCATTTTGGGATGGGTTTGCTCTAAGTGATATGCCTTCCGTACCTGTGATGTTACCTTGGTTGCTTGCTTTTAGTATTAAGTTAGTGGGTTGTTACAAGAAAGGGGCTGAGCGTACTAGTCAGTGCTTTCTACTAAAGGCTTTTCTGAGCTGACATACATTGCTGTTTTCCTAATATTCACTCTTTCCTCCTCTCGACATTTGTTGACCACGACTTATCTTTGTTTCTCTTTATGATTTAATGGTTTAGATCTGGGACTAAGTTGTCATCTTGTGTTTATTGAAAGAAAGGAGCTTATGCTACGAATTAAGGATCTTGCTTGAGAAGAGCGCCAATTTGGTTGGCATAGTTGTTGAAGTATCCATTAATACCAGCGATAACGACTAAAGAAAGGATGGAAATGGCCGCAACAGCAAATACAGCTAGGTTTAACTGTGAGAAGAAACGAGCTCGTTTTGGCGTGTAATGACTACGGACCTTGATAGCTGAAAGGAAGTATAAAGAGAGGGCTAGGAAGAAGATCATGTGGTAGTTGTGGAGTGTTTGTCCAAGATTGTTAGGAGATATGAGTAGAATGAAAATGGCAGCAATGGAAACCAAGGCTTGTATGCAGAAAAGAAGAGTTTGGGTTGTTGGCCGAATCCGAACACCTGCTTGTCGTGAGGATATTGAACTAACGGCCGCCATGATGACGATCGGAACTAATATTGCCCAATAAATCACTACTTCCTTGCTAGCGGCAATTTCCTTGGCAGCCGCGGCTATCACAACGCCATTGATAACGAACATTGCGACAAAGCCAATGGACAGAAGAATATGCGCCAGAGTGGCGTGGCGGAACTCAGGGAATAAAAAGAAAGCCATGGCCGTTGGAATAATCAGAATAGCCGAGATAATTGAAATGCCAGCGCATAGCAAAGCAATTGAAATTATATAGTTTAACGTCGCTGTGACATAAACACCGCCTATCCACGCCAGCTTAGATAACCGCCTCTCGTCTGCTGATATAAATCCGTCAAGAATCTTTGAACCGGCCATGACCGGGCTTTCTCTTGTATCGAATAAACGTGCTTTAGCAGTCGAGTCAAATGGAGTTAGTTTTTGGTTGTTAAGGACGAGAGTAATAGTGGTGTTTGGAATGAGATATCCTAATTGCCTCTTAATTAAGTGGGCGGGGTCTATAGCTGAGTGGTTTAAAAGAATAATGGTAAGATCTGGTTGCTTAGAGACTTCACAAAGCTGTCTAAGCTTAGAATAGGATGCGCCGGGTGCGCTTTCTAGATCAATGAAAGAGGTAGTATCCGAAATGCCAATGTCGTTGGCAGCTAATTCTAAGCTGTATGGGTTGACGTCATTAGAGCGATGGGTTTTCACAACATCGATGGTTGTATCGTACATGCTGCACACGAGCGATATAGGGTGTAGACTGGACGCAAGGGTCTTGATTAAGTCCATCGCATCAATGATCTCAGGTTTAGTAAACTGTATGAGAGATGGGTTGACTTTGGTGGTGCAATGCTCAGGACATAGTGATGCGACCTGCCAAAGCCAATGTAGGTAGCTGAGAAAGTGCCGGAGGTGAGTAATATCACTCTCCACGTGCTGGGTCATCCATATCTGCAATGAGTTGTAGAAGAGCTCTTTTTTCTCAACGAGCGTAGAAGTATTTGGGAAAAGGGCGCTATTGAGATAAAGAAGCCGCAGGATGTTTTGAGCCGTGAATGGTAAAAGGAGGTTATTTATCTCGTGGGTTTGATTTTTGCGAGCGTCTGTGCCTGGTATCAGTTTTCCTTGATCTGTTAGGTGTTCTCTGGGTTTATAAAATATGTTCAAGGCATCGAGAAGTTGCTGAACTTCCTCGGGCTTGATTGGTTGTTCTATTTGGGTTTGTTGGTTGAGATTCTCGAGAACTGTTTGAACTTGGTCAAGTTTGATGTCGGCCATCAATATGTATGTACTAAACTCGGGTAGTGAGAATTGGCTTAATGAATCTGATTCTCGTCCATTTGTCTCCAATTGTGGCTGGGAATGGGCGGGTGGCTCCATGCCCATACTTGCTAACTCAATGTTTGTAGATGGTCCTACTGTAGGCCTATCGTGCTCTTCGCGTTGGACCGCCCATATATTGCAACTAATAGCGAGCAGGCAAATTACCCCATAAAGTAAAGGTAAACGCATTATGTTGATTAAAAATGTAAAATTTCCATAATGAGCCACTTAGGCAATTACCAAATCGGGTAATTTTCATTTTTAGTTAGGGTATATTACATTGACTGAATTTTAGCGTGGCAGGTAAATAGATGTTTGTTGAATTGGTAGTGAATTTATTGAGTTGGCATTGATTGGGTTAGTAGCAACTGGTGGTGATTTTAGCTTCCTATACCTAGTTTACTCGAAACCCCTTGGCCAACTGGAGCGGCTTGGCAATGAAGAAGGAAAAGCACCAGTAAGCCTAATATGATGATGGCTATACCGATGTGAACTAGGGTTTCGATCCATTTGAAGAGGGCGAGGTTATTTTTTACGTACTTAGATCGGTTTTGGGTGTGCTTGGGTTGTCGGTGCGATGCAAGGCATAAGAAGAACGAGGCCATGCAGACCAAAGTGGCGGCAATGGCATCATAGGAAATCGTGCCCTCGACAATGTTTGGTTGGATGATGAAGCTGTATATAATAAGACCGGCCATGGACAGGATGTGGATGACAAATAAGACTCGTAGCATAAAGTTAAGCCAACCGGACAATGGGAAGTGCTGTGCTATCAAAGATGTGACCAAGGCGCCGATAGTGTAGATTAGGATCCAGAGCGGGTCGATTAAAATATTAGGGTTGTTGGCCAAGTCAGCTGAATCCAAATGTTGATAGACATAGTTGGTTATTAGAACAACACACACGATTATAATAGCTTTGAAAAGAATAAACTGGTTGGTTTGACGGGTTCGAGGCTGGTGTTTGGCATACATCAACTGGATAAAGCCAACGATTGTAATAATGGCAATAAGAATGGACAGAGCAGTGAGGGTGTATAAAAAAGCACTAGCCATAGCCACCGCCGCAGCAGCAAAGACAAGGAGATGAACGAACCAATCTATAATGCGATTTACCAAAAACTGCCGTTCAATTTCGCTGGGTTTGGGCTGTTTATCAAGCGGGATTATTGTTTCTTTATCGTCATCGATCTGTAAGCCTATGAACTTAAGTGGGATGGAGAAGTAGGCAAAGAGTTCTCTTAAACGCGACTCAGCGAGTTTGAAATCGTCAGCACAGTCGTCCTGGACATAAATAGTCTGGGTTTTGCTGGATAAAAAGATGTTGGCCAGCTCTACTTGAGTAAGCAGTTTGGGATCTGTTGGTGGTAGTTTGCCTTTTTTGGTAATAAACAATCGAAAGGCTGGCTGGTTGGGATTAGCTGGTTGCGAAGGAGGGTTTAGCTTAGTTATCATTAGGTGGCACTTATTTAATATCATGATTAGCGGATGGAGATCTATGCTTATTTCGGTGCTGGCTAGGTTGTCACGGATATCCATTGTGTGTAGTATTGGACTTGGCTGAATGATTGAGTGAATGTAGTGTTTGGTGGCTGGGGTATTCTGATAGATATGGCAGAGTGCCCGAACTAAGTTGCTAAGCTCCCTTGTGGGAATAACCGTAGGATCTATCTTGTCTATGTATCGCAGCGGTGCGTGTTTGAGGACATTAGTCTTAGCACCACGGGGTCGATTGGGTGGCAGTATTCCCAGGCAGTATATGGTTTGTAGTAGGTTAAGAACATTAAGGCAGTAAGAATCAGGATTGATGGTGATGCTCGCGGCAGCGTCGCTGTACATCTTGAAGGCATCCATAAACGTTGAGTGTATGTCCTTCTGTTGTTGTTCGGTTAAAGGCATTGGGCTTAGATGTGGACCTATGCCAATGTAGAGCATTGGTATCATGGTTTTCAACAAGCACTTTATAATGGCCGGGCTAGTATTAGCGGTGATAGCCCGGTCTTGGTTAGGCAATAGGTCAAATTCTTGGGTGTTGCCAGACATATATGTCACTAATGCCTGCCTAACGGCTTTATATTCATTTATCCCAGGCCAGGCCTTAGGTTCTTGGGTTAGCCGGCCAGTAATGAAGTCAAAGATTATAACTACGGCTGGGAACTTCTCTTTTAAAAAGTAGTTGGTTGCTATCAATATATCTGCACTTTGTTCAATCTCTTCAGGGGCGTTGCCTATCCATTGGGATAGTATAGTTTGAAGATCCTCGAGTTCTAGGTCTACTTTGATTTTGTTTGCTTTCTGCTTGGCCAACCAACTGACCAATCTTTCGTTGAAGACTTCTTTTGGGTCTTTAACAGGTGTAGGTGGCTGTGGAGTAGGCCCAGTCTGCGAAGTAACTCCTGCGGCCGAAGGTGATGTAGGTGATGATGGCTGCGAAGTAGGCCCAGTCGGCGGAGTGACTCCTGCGGCCGAAGGTGATGGGGGTGTAGGCATTGTAGTTGATGATGGCTGTGAAGTAGATCCAGTCGGCGGTGCGACTCCTGCGACTGGAGGTGATGGGGGTGTAGGCATTGTAGGTGATGATGGCTGTGAAGTAGATGGAGGTGGTGTGGATATAGGTGTACTTGGTTGATTTGGTAAATTAAGTGTTCTTGGTCTTGTTACTAAACTGCCCGACGAGCTGAGTGATAAGGAGGATGGTGTGATAGAGCTCCTAGACCTACCCGCCATTTGGCCCTTTGTACTCTCTTCACTATCACTACTTAATTGTCCTGGATGTCTGCGCGTTGGTATTAATTCGTTGTCTTTCTTATCAGCTGGTGATAAATCGCTTGTAACACGGCCCGACACGTTAACATCAGGCTGAAGATCATGCGTACTTTCCGAGACACTATGTACTGTGCTTAGAAAACCAAGACAACACATTCCCAATATAATGTTTATAATCAAACGTTTGATCTTGCTTTTGTCAATCATGAATGAAAAGAGACACAAATATTTATTTCCCTTTTAGGACATTGAGTGGAGATTGGACAATTAATAATTAGTGGTTGGTTTGGGTTGGGTTGGGTTGGGTTGGGCTAGTCATGGGGATTAGTGATTGGATGGATTAAGTTGCACTAAAATGATGTAAATCCAAAGCTTTAGTGTAATTAAACTGATTTAGGGTAGATATTAAGGTTGTTTTATAAGAGTTATTGCAAGACTTAGTGTATGATTATTGACAATACAGTCGGATTAGCAAGTGGCATTCTAGGCACTGTTTCACAGGAAGAGCGAGTGAAGTTCATTCCTTTGTTCATTGTTAATCTGATGTTTGGCCGACTACTGATTTGGATAGGCTACCACCTCTACTGCCACAACTAATCAAGAGTAAATAAAGATACAACTTAGCCCAAGAGACTAGGACTGTAAATATTGGGCCGGTTGCCTAAATTTGATTTATTGCGACTTGCTGATATGGGCAAGAAGATCAATAACTCGAGAGGAGTATCCGTACTCGTTGTCATACCAGGCCACTAGCTTGATAAACGTATCAGAAAGGAAGATGGACGCCTCAGCATCAAAAACACTACTAGCCGTTTCACCAATAAAATCACTGCTAACCACCGGCTCCTCAGTGTAGGCCAGAATTCCTTTAAGAGAACCTTCACTAGCCTCCTTGAGCTTTCTTTTGATCTCGGTTGCCGAAGCTCCGCGCTTAAGCTTAACGGTCAGATCAACCACGCTGACATCAGCCACTGGCACCCGGAAAGACATACCCGTCAACTTGCCCTTAAGTGAAGGAATAACCTCCCCAATTGCAGCAGCTGCTCCAGTGGAAGCCGGGATGATATTCTGAAGCCCGCCTCTGCCATCGCGGTATTGCTTCATTGACATCCCATCAACGATTCTTTGGGTCGCAGTTAAAGCATGCACCGTGGACATAAGTCCTTCTTCAATCCCAAAAGACTCCTCCAAGACTTTAACCAGCGGGGCCAAACAATTAGTAGTGCAGCTAGCATTGCTAATTACTGTTTGCCCTTGGTACTCCTTTTCATTAACACCAACCACAAACATAGGAGCATCCTTACTCGGTGCAGTTATAATAACTGCTTTGGCACCAGAAGTCAGATGGCCTTGGCAATCAGTAATGCCCTTGAAAACTCCAGAAGACTCGATTACGTATTCAACACCATACTGCTGCCAGCCAATCTTTGCCGGGTCCCGCTCAGCAAGAATGGTTATACGCGCAGGATACTTACCTTCTAGAACCAAAACATTGCCTTCTGCCTTAGCCTGAGTCTCCCTTAAAGGCCCATGAGTGGAGTCTCGCGTTAAAAGATAAGCTAAGTACTTAGCATCCACAAATGGATCATTAATACAGCCAATTTCAAAACCACGAGTTAAGGCTATTCTAGCCACTAATTTGCCTATACGACCTGCTCCGTTTATCCCGATCTTCATATTCTCTGTTGATACACAAACAAATAAATGCTGCGCTTAGATGCCCTGAAGGTCTTAGCTACTGAGACAAGACAAACACTGCAGGTTGAGTACTGCCCAGACCCAGCCTTTCAACGTGCCTTTCTTTTACCACGCAAAATGTCCCTCTTGGTTGAAGTCTTTTCTCTAAATGACCTGCCTGTCTTCTATCGAGCTGAGCCCTTATTCAGTGTTGACGGATACTTGCACCTAAAAGCAGGCGAGCCCATTGTGGTTCCCTGTCCCGGCCTGTCGTTTTATGAGCCTTCCTCTTTACCTAAACCAACTGGACTTGGCCCCGTGTCTAAATCCGGCCTCCAAACAGCGGTTGCCACTGCCATTAATGGACTAGTAGCCGCGGCAGCCCGCAAGGCCGAAAAAGCCCACTTTAAAGTTGATGATCCAGGCTGCCCTCGTCTGTGCCTCTTCTTGCTTAAACTAGGCCGCATTAAGGAAGCTTTTGCTTGTATTCGTGATAGCTACTCTGAATCCTTTACTTTAAAACCAGTCCTGCCCTATCTGATCTATGAAGCCTACTGCTCTTTGTTTCTACCTACCGAAACCGACGCCACCCCCGAGCGCTTGCTAAGACTAGCTCAATCTTTAGGCCCAGAAACTGATTCCGAAACCGAAGACCGAATTCTTACTTGTCTACTAATTGGCGTGAAACTCACCCGTCCCAAGAAATCACCAGAGCTACTTGGTCTTTATAGTCGCATCCAAGTCTCACCCGAGAAGAAAGCCCTCTTCTTCTTCTTGTTCGCCCAAAATCTCGGCCAAGAAGCCGCCCATACTAAGTATGCTCTTATTGGATTGGCCGAAACCGCCTTCTCCTGTCCCCGTTGTGTTCATTCTCGCCAAGCCGATGTACAAAAGGCCCTTCGCACAATTGTCACGCAATCTTCTACTCTAAATCTAGCCGTTCCCATCTGTGAGCAACCACTAACAGAGTATCTCCACGGCCAGTCACCACTACCCACCCATTCTATCCTCATTGAATCCGAAATCAAAGACTTCACCACCACTTCCCCACTTCCCATTTCACACACTCAAACCATCTACTCCGAAGGCCGTATTTTTCTCCACAGTTCTCCAAGCATTATAATCACTTCTCTACTAATTGAATCCCCATTCCAACCAACCCTTTTCCTTAAAGCCAGTTCCTCAACCACATCCACCACCAACTCCACTCTCCTTGCACCCGTCCCCGGTCCTTCCCATCTCCCCAGTCCCACCCATACTCTCACTACTTTCTTCCTCCCCTACTCCACTCTAATCACAGCTATCCATCTCCAGCACAAAGGCCAAAAGTTCAAAGAAACCGTCAGTATTCCCATTGAAATAGTTCCCCCCATTATTCCCAAGAAACTCTACGCCCACCGCTACTCCATCATCCCCACTATCATTTCCCCAACCTCCAATGAAGAGTCTACCATCCTCTCCCAAATTATCTCCCATATCACTCCTTCCCCACCATCCCCACCCAACTCCACCCACCTTAACCGTACACAACCCAACTCCACCCAACTCAACTCCACCCCACCCAATTCCACCCCACCCAATCCAACCTTCCCTGAATCCTACTCTAAACTCTCACCCATGTCCCTGCCCGTCCGCATTCCCTACCGCTCCTTACACACTTCACAACTCCTCTACAAAGAACTCCGCCTTCACTGGCTCCCTCTCCCCCTACTTACCCTCACTGAGCAACCAGATACACTCCAAATCACCGCCCATAACTACGATCTCCTCATCACTTACAATCTCCCAACCAATACTAAACCAATCCAAGAACACCTTATAGCCCGACACTCCTTTATTCTAAAAAGACCTCCCTCAGGCCGCATTAACTGGTCTCTCCTCACTAGAAACAAGTCCGGTTTCATTCTCCTCTAACTCCTCAATCTCATCCCCCGAACCTTCACCATCCCTACGATTATAAGCCTCCCATACTTCACTAAACAAAGTCACCAAAGGCGGCTCCAAAACTTCTCCTTCCACCCGACTCAAATCTATATCCATCTCCATAAACTCCTCCAAACTAACCATCCTAATATCCCCCAGTCCTTCTACTCCCTCCATCTCCCCAACCTTAGCTTCTTCCGCCTCCTCCACTTCCTCTCCTTCCTCTCCTTCCACTTCATCCCCATCCTCACCATCCTCACCATCTTCACCATCCTCACCATCTTCACTACCCTCATCTTCACTTCCTCCCGTTCTTTCTATCTCCTTAACATGCACCCCCGGATACTCCACTCGGACAAAGTAAGCTACATTAGCAAAGATCTTATCTTCAGCCGTATAACAACCAAACATTAAAGAAGTCACCCCTAATAAGTACTCTCTAGGTATTTTAGATACGTCCGGAATAGAACACTCTAAATCAAACTCTATTAAACCAACCGGTAAATCTTCTACCATCTCATCACATAAAACTTGATCATAAGCTTCTGTTTCAGCCGTCACTACATAAACTACTTTAATCCGTAAACTTAAACCCTCTCTACTAACTAAAGCTCTTACTACTGCCTTAAGTGGATCTTTAAAGAGACTTTTTAAACTACTATCATTAGACCAAGTAACACTCTGTACCTCTATCATTCCCATTAAAATTTATTAGCATAAACGCTTAGCCAAAGAGATCCATCTCGCCTGAACTTTCAGACTCTTCAGATTCTTCTTGGACTGCAGTAGTAGCAGTAGTAGTGGTAGAAGCACTGGCTGAAGGAGCAGCGGCAACGGCAACTTTAGACATACCTTGTTGGATAAGTTCTTCTGGTGATTTTCCTTCTACCTTCTCCATAAGAGCTTTGATCTTATCTGTATCTACTGAAGCACCAATGGTCTTAAGTAGAGCTTCTATCTCAGCAGCACTTGGAGCTTTTCCATTCACTAAATGTAATAAACGATACGGAACTAAACAATTCATTGGACAGGGGTGATAATAAAATAAAATATACATTCAATAACGTATTGAGTTGAGGTGGTTTAGTATTGGGTTGGTTTGGTATTGGTTTAGTTTAGTTTAGTATTGGTTTACTGTATGGAGGTGGTGTTATGTGTCTAGTTTAGTATTGGTTTGGTTTATTGAGGTAGTTTGGTATTAGTTGGTGCGTGTGATAAGTTAAGTGGTGGTAATAAAGTACAGGTAATGTAACTTAGTATAATGTAACTGTAGTGCCGTAATACTACCACTACTTTTATCCCGCTACAAATCGTTTATTCATTGTTGATCGCGCCTGCACACCGCATCTACAATTCTCGGACACTATCGTTACCCGTAACTTTAGGAGAGAATTCTGACTATATCAAACTTTAACGGATACCTTGGGATTCTTACTAAAATTTGATATGACGTCATTTTCGCATCAGACATCGTCAATATTCAATAAAGGTTTACGCATGTCGTATCGAGGTATGTCACTGATGGAATTTGTATTAATCACAGGAATTATTCCTACTTGTGGGCACTATACTCTTATTGGATAAAATCTGGTTGTGAGCGAGAGAATGACATCATATCAAAAGTAGATAAGATGTGCAAAATAAAATAGCTAAACCATCCTGATTCTACTAAATCATGAGGACTCGTAATATCAATAGATGATTGCTATTCAAATGGCTTTATCTATTATCAAGATGCTTGTTTGAAAGAAGAGTAGTGGTCGTATAACAACACTACATTTAGATAGAAACAGGTGCAGAACCCAAATGGTGGTTGTGTTTTGCGGATAAATGAGTCTTCTAGTTTTCCAATCTGTTTTCTAATCGGTTTTTATTAAGGTTATATTTTCAACTTTCTTAAACACCTTTATCTTATCAAATTGTTTGTTAAATAGCCTTGTGATGGCTATATAGTCAAAGGTATTTGCAAAATCTATGACATTATCTCTGCGCATGAAGACACTATCAGGTGCGTACATTCAAAACAAATTAAGATACTCATTGTTAGTCGCCAATAATCACAAACCTAGCCATAAGACTAGAACTACTTCCCTAATAATCAATGCTTCTACAACCAAGATGTCTTGCTGTCGATTAGCGATCTCTAACTGGACTGTAGTTAGATTGTGTGTTCTGCTGGTACTGTTTAGTTGGACCAGTATAGTCAGTAGCTCGAGTATGGAAGTAGATGAACCGGATTTGCTAACTTCAAAGGAGGTAGTTGAATCTCTAAATAGGATTGGTTTCTGGTGGGATGAGTTTACCCCGCGTATTGAGGTTATATCCCATTCTCCAGAGAGAACCAGCCCAAATCCAGCCCACCCTAGCTCTACACAGAACCAGGCACCTATGTATGCGATAAGCTTTTCAACCCATCCTAACTTTATACGGAGCGGGACACCTATGTATAAGACACGCTTTTCAGGCTGGTGCATTTCTTATTCAGTCCCAAAGAAGCCAATCTTATTGAAGAAAGCACTGGATGAAATAAGAAGGATTGCTGTAGTTGAGGCCCAGCAAATTAGTATTTTCTATACTGTGGTCGATGTAAGTTCCCATAAAGAATGTTTGTTGCTTCTGTGTCGGGTTCTGAACCTAGTTGAGTGTGAGAAGGCGGAACTTCTAGTTAGTCTCAGTCACAAATCTCGCACAATTAGCTTTCTACCTGGCGTTTCAGATAACTTTGATTTAGATATGCATCGGCAAGCGGCTGAAGATGCCATTAAATGGGCTAGCACGGCTCCATTTCATTTGGTTATGCAGCTACGTATTGACTCGCATGTCTTTCTAACGTACATATTTAATGGCCTCGTTATATTGCGACCTGTTTCACAGATCACTATCTATAATGAATACCTTCCAGATATTTCTAAGTATCTCGAGCGCTTAAACCTCACAGCTGACTCTGCCGTTATAATTGACCATATCATGCCACATGTTACGGTTGACGTGAAATTCGTTCAAGAGGCTGCTCATAAATGCGCCAAAGTCATATTCGCTCTTGACAAAAACGGTGGCATAAAAACACTAACCGGATTTAAGAAACCATCTGCTACAAGCCCAGCTATAATGATATCTGCACCATGGCCTGACATCCAAGACACTGCAATGCACAATAAGTCCTCAGCCCATCTTCATGGTCTAATATATAATGATTGGCATCACCGGGAATGGATTCAAGGATTGGTTAAGATCAACAAATCTGAATCGTGTCCTAGCCCCCTCATCTTTGTCGATAATCTTATTGTGGTACTCGTGACTTCGCACCTTTGCGATTTCTTGGCCTTCCACAAGAAAGCATTCTTCGTGGATTCCTTTGCCAAATGTGGCATTTCCATTGGCAATGTTGAGGTTGAGTATGCTGCTGGCCGAGAGGATTTCTTTCAAGGATTAGAGACTCTTTATGAGGCCGAGGCTTTATTAAAAGATCCAGCAGATCTTGTTGATAAGAATATCGTGTGCCTTGGTCATGCACTTAGTGACACTAGTTGGGAACTTAAAGAACCGGTCCATATCAGACTTGATGGCTCACGTTTCACTCCAATCTGCTCGCATATACGCTACACAAAACTTACTGTTAGTGGTGATATAAAGCCTAAGCCGGGGCAGTCCGGCCTGTGCAATGGTTTTCTAAATATGATACGAAGTATCAATGCGCAAGAACTTTGCATCTTAAATGTGCGTAATTGTCCTTCAATTGGCACCAACTTTGACATGGCCAAACTAAAAAGCGAGATAGATAGACCTCTAAGATTCAACATCAATGTCGGGACTTTGATTCTAGATAATGTTGATGATTGCATTTTATACCGAATGCTAGGTTACTATGAGTTTACTAACTCAAAACCAACTGAAATCCATCTCCTAAACCAACGCTTCACTAGTCTTGCGATTGCCCAAATACTAGCTCTTCCTATGGCCGAAAAGATCTCTAAAATCGTAATTGATAGCATCAGTCGTCTAAATGAGGTCAAGTATTTCCACGAGCGAAAGGAATTGAATGAGTTCTCACTGTTTAACTATCTCAAGAAGCGTAAAAGGACGGAAACAACTCAAAAACTTGACCTCCATAAGCTCGTCCTAATTCCTGAACCCATCATCTTCGACTCGTATAACATACCTTTACAAGCTCTCAAAGATCTTGGTGTCCAAATACTAACCCCGCCTGATAAATACAACACTGATCCTCCTTTCCCCAACCAACCTCATATGATAGATATGCAAAAGCTCATTTATTGCACTATTACCCTTGATGTCTTAAAAGCCGATCTTTTTAAATGTCATGCCACCCCTTTCGCCCAACCTAACCTACCTCCAAACACAATCCAGCTTGATTCCATTACTAATATGTTCCTGCGCATAAGTGACGCCCATTTCCTAACTAGAACTGATTTGAATACTATTGTCTGCCGGCTGCGCTGTCGATTCAAAAATCTAGCCATTCTCTGGCTGGCCAACTTTAAACTGATCGAAGAAGTCCGGAGATTGGGTTCGTACAAATTTATGGCCAATAATCTACCCCATCTTCAGCTTATTCAGATCGAGGACATAATGCCTAACAAAGGCTCAATTGAACTGGAGCTACAACCATATCTTGATA